TGTTTGATTGCAGCTTTTCATTACTCCATTATCTAGGCTTACTCTTGAGCAGGGCTGAGAAGGGGGTGCTGGTTGAAGAGTGGCTTTCACGAGGCTGTGCTTTCTTTGTGTCTCACTCTTTCAGGCAAATAGTTGATTGTTTCACAAGCCTTCGGCTGATTCGATTAGAAAAAAAGAAAGAGCATGCACAGAGGTCTGGAGTTGTGACAGAAGCAGGGAAAGGTTAGACCATACATAGTGTGAAACAGCTCTTTGATTTGAAACAGATTTTACTGAGATTTTTACTGCTTGAACAAAACATGGCACAAGGCTAAATACTGTTAGTTTTTTTCATCAATAGTTGTGAAATTATATTTATTGTATCATCTAGCTGTTGAAAACAGTGTTCAAATGTGATAAATTTAAGTGTTCTAAGTGTGGCTGTGGCATGGACAGGAACTGAGTTATGTATGGCACTCAGGCAAAGCACTGATACATGCTGCAGACATGTCATTTAGTTATGCCAGATAAGCCAGAAGGAAACCTTGTTGTTGTAAATAAAATGCCATAAAATACATAATTTAATATAAAGAAATAAAATTATATTGATTTCATCACATTTTTCTCTAAATGCAAGTCATCTCACCATTTTAAGAGCTTGTAGCAAACAAGAACTTAATCTAGCTGAAAAGTCTTGTCAAAGAAGAAAAGTCCTTGCAGGATGTGTAGATATAAAGAGGAGAGATGTGAAGTGAAGTAGGTCATTCAGCAATGTTTCTCTCTATATGAAAATAAATATTTGGAGAAGAAAGGCGAAACAAAGGTGATTCTTGGAAAAGTCATAGAGTTACTTCACTTAGCTGGATATTCTACTATGAGTATTGCTATTTTACCTACAGAGTGTGCATTTCCTAGGCTTCAGGACTCTGCACCAATACCTTTATATGTGTACTTGTGGAAAATGGTGTTAATGTTCCACAGCACGGGTTTAGGGCAGCTGATAGAACTTTACAGTTTGGTGACGTGATAAAATTTGGCAAATATGTAGGTGTAGAATTAAGTTTCGATATGATGTGGGTTTAGTTTCTTGAAAGTATGTTTTATGGTTCTCTGCTTCTTTAACTGATCTCCAAGAGAGGAAGAAATTTTAACCTAGTGTCTTTCAAAGTATTTCTCAAAGACTATGAGCGCGGTCTTATGTAATTTTGAAGATTATTTAAGGCCTGTTCACTTACTATGAGCAAGTCCTGTAAGACATTAGCACCGAAGTTCTTGGTAATATACTTACTGTATTTGTAGCCCTAAACAGTGTCGACTATTGACAGTTGTGCTGGTTTGAAAGCAAACCAGTGAGAGACTCAGAAGTCTCTCACTGGAGAGAGTCAGAAGTACAATTTAATATGAAACACAAACAAAACAACAACAAATATAACAGTACAAATTAACAACCCAAAAGAAAGAAACCACTGACAGTCAGCAAGTAACTGGACACGCTGTCAGTCAGGGCGTTGATAGCGGTCCCATTGAATGGTGCTGCAGTCCTCCTGCAGTGATGGGTCTGTCGGAGCAGTGGTCCCGCAGATCCGATCCTCTCCCGAAGGTTTCAGCAGCAGCCCCTTGTCCTCTGGAGATCCAGCAGGTAAAGTAGGGCAGGTATCTGTTCTTTACATAAGAGATTGATGCAACACAAAAAGTATTTAACCACTAAATGTTGACCATTTTCCCAGGATAGCCTATCCTGGAATTATGCTTTATTTCTGGTGTACATTAACCCTCATCAAACAAAATATTTCTCATAAACACATGGGAGGACCATGTTAGTTCCACATTAAGTAGGGCAGGAGGAGATAACGATCACTGCCCCACTTGCTGCTTTAACCCTCGTGGAGACGACAGTAGAATACATACCATTGGCTACCCCCACACTGCAGCCCAGGACAACAGTTCACTGCCAAACGTTATGATTTGTGGGAAAAAAACCCCAAACAAAACTTTTTTTACTTTTAAGAATGTGAATGGGTTAAATATTACAAGTTGCTATTGAGGATTTCGAGGAAAGAACTCTCATGAAAGAGTGAAGTCTGTGTTTGTTTCGCAGGTGTCACCAGGAATGCAAATCATGGAATTTGCCACTAGATGTCCCTGCAAGACAAAATAGTTTTGTTTCCTCAAACACAACCTTAAACCACAGCTCGGGTTTTTTGCAGCGTGAAACAATTGTTTTGTAAACCACAATTATCTCCCTCCCTTCTCTCCTGTTTTTTTCTTCATGAAATCTTCCTGCAGATGAACACATGGCTTGGTGTGTGTCTTGCTTTGTAATTGATGCATAGTAGCAAAAGATGTGAGGAGAGACTGTACTTCTCACCTGCAGCAGCTTGGAATTGACAGTACAAAGGGCTGTATTTCCGTTTATTTTTGGCTGACATGCACTCAGGAAATGTAGTGGGGTTTTTCGTGTCTTTGTCTTTATATCCGTTATGTCACTTCAGAAATACTCAAGTAAGCAACAGGATTCAGACCTGACTTTATATCCTCTGTTCCTAATTCTGAGCTTTGGTTTACAGTTTGATAGTTATGTTGGAGAGTTGCATAGATCTGTAGCTTATGAAAGCTAAGACTTGAGACAGAGAAAAGTGCTATTCCCTATTTTTGTTTGTTTTTTGAAAAAGTGATCATGTTAACCCTGTTAGGGGTCCTCTCACATGTTTTGTTGTCCTTAGCATCACTAACCAGTTCTCCTCATACAGCTGTTGGTTTAATAATTGAAATGTCTTTGTATTGAGTTTGGAAATTGCTGTTGTTCTTTGTTTCTCAACAGCCAACAAAATTCAAGAATGAAAAATAGAGGCTGTATTGATTAGGAGGTGGTTCAGAGCTTATGTCATGAATGTTTGAAATTAGTTGTGCATCTAGGACAGTCATGGAGGAGAATGTTCTTTATTCTGGTGTCATCTTTATTCTCTCAGAAAATTTGGGTAAAGCAGAATACAAAGTTGCTGTTGTTGCTTTGCCTATACTAGTGTTGTAAGTGGTAGATTTACATCTGACCTTTTCCCATGTTAGTGATGAAGAAAGGAAAAATGGGGAAGAAAAATGTCAGAATTTCTTGATCTTATTATGTCTATTAGTAGAATAGGCACTGACATGCTGGTGACAGGGGCTCAGTATGAGCCAACAGTGTGGCCAAGAAGGCCAATGGCATCTTAGCCTGTATCAAGAATAGTGTGGCCAGCAGGACTAGGGAATAGATCATCCCCCTGTACTCGGCATTGGTGAGGCCACACCTCGAGTACTGTGTTCAGTTTTGGGGCCCTCAGTTTAGAAAGGACATTGAGGCTCTGGGGTGAGTCCAGCGAAGGGAAAAGAGACTCAGAAAAGGTCTAGAACACATGTCCAGTGAAGAATGACTGAGGGAATTGGATTTGTTCAGCCTTGAGAAGAGCCTCAGGGCTCATTGCAACCTCATTGCTCTCTACAACTACCTGACAGGGGTTGTAGAGAGGTGGGGGATGGTCTCTTCTACCATGCCTGCAGGGAGAGGACTAGAGAGAACAGTCATAAGATGAGACAGGGGAGATTCAGTGTAGATACCAGGAAATTTTTTTCACTGTTAGGGTGGTCAGGCACTAGAATAGTTTGCCCAGGGAGGCAGGGGATTCACCATCCATGGAAGTGTTTAAGAGGCATCTGGACCTGGTGCTGGAGGATATGGTTTAGGGGTTACAGCAGAGTGACAGGTTAAGGGTTGGACTTGATGATCTTAAAGGTCTTCTCCAACCTTGATGATTCTATGATTCTGCAGTTTATTTTCCTTTAGGGAAGATAGATTTTCATCTTGCTTATAGCTCAGGGGTTTATAAAATCAAATTATAGGTGTTTAAGATAGAGCCATGAAAGATTTAAAGAGTGAAGTGGTAGAAAACATATATTCAACTGTGCATATAAAGAAGGTGAGGTGTTTATAGTGATGGTAGATTTAGCCTTGTTTCTGTCTGAGTTTTGCTTTGAACTAAGTTAAACTTTGTGAGTTCTTAGGCATCAGTCCAGTCATGAGAAAAGCTAAAATGGCAGAGTAGTTGGTTTCAAAGCTTTGTAACTTCCCTGAAATTCAGTTACAGTCTTCCCTCCCCCAGAGCCTGTAGAAGTGTCAGTGGTGATCAGATTAATACAGGTTCCTTCTGATACTGAAAAGCACAAATGAGGAATTTTAGGATACTTCCTCATTTCCCAGCAATTGTGAATTTGCAGCTTTCCTCATGTCAATCTGATATTGTTGCATTTTGCAAAGCTCTTTCTTAAAAGGTCCCATGAAGCCACAAGATGAACTTTGAAAATGAGGAAGTCACATGTATCAATGCTGTGTTTCAGGAGTGAACTATGGGCAGGTGTCTAGCAGATTGTCCCTGAAACCTTAACTCTTTTCCAGAGGGGGCTTGATAGAAATTCAGCAGAGAGTTGTCTGCTCTTCTTCCAGCTGAAATGATTGCATATTGAGTAGTACTACCTGTTAGGATGGTGTGACAGACTTCGACCTTGATAAGTAGTAGGAAAAGCTGTATGCATCTGATGTCTGTGACCTCTGCTTGAACTCTGGTTAACAAGGCATAATTAAGGCATTACTAACATCCTAGTATATGTAAAAACAACATTTAATGCAATCTGTCAAATACAAGTGCTTGTGCTTATTTTGTATTGACTCAAATGATCTCCATGTTGCAGTTTGTTCTGTGCCCCTGGAGGGACTATTGCTTCTCAGGGCAGGCAGAAAGAGCAGAGAAGAGTTGCACTTTCAGTGAAAGTTTCTCGCCTGAGTTACAGCAGAACCAGGATTCTTCTGTACTTAAAGCAGTGAGTGAAACCTTGGCACTGTGAATGTACTCAAATGCTAATTGCATGTCCTTGTATTTGTTCAGGTATATTCTGAGATGTCACCAGAAACAGTGGATGGCGTTGTAGATTAGTGATATGTTAATTTGAATCTTGTCTTCTCCATATTCGTTGTGAACAGTCATCACAAAATGGACGGTTTGGACAGTCTCCTTCCTCCTGTGGTTGGAACTGGTGATGCAACTAATTCAGAAGAGTTGCTAAAACTTCTGCTGGATGAAAAAATGCGAAGCGAACAGCATAAAACAAATTATCAAATTCTAAGGGCAGAATATCTAAGGTACATCCATTTGAACAAGGTTTTTTGTTTGAGCTGTTAAGAGGTGAAGCTAAACATTAAGCGGAGGGGATATGTGTTGTGTTAGCTATTTCTGCATGTAAGGACAGGCTTGAGTACCTTAAGACATTGCAGATTGTTTCTGCAATACTTTTCGTACTTGTAAATATAGGATAACTTTTCAGCATATTATAGGAAGAGGATATTAATAGCTTATTTTTTATTTGGTGTTTGTTTGTTACTGCATGTGAGTTTTTTGAGCTTAAAGGTCTAATTTTAGATGGTAAATATGTATTTTATCTTGCAGACTCCAGGAGGATTATACGAAATCACAGGATGAACTGAAGCAGTCATTAGTTGAAAAACAGACTGAACATGACAAATTTCAGCAGTGTCTCGCTGAATATCAAGAGCAGTTGCTGAGTAAAACACAAGAGTTGGAAGAGCTGAAGATGCAGGTGAGATAATTTACTGGAAGGACTTCACATGTATTTTTGTCCTGTGATAGGGCTGTGCATGTATTTCTGTTTATGTAACATGTATATACCCAGCTGGGATATACTTCAGATACCTTGAAATTCACCCAACCCAAGTAATGTTTCTTCTCTAGAGTGACTATGGGTTGAAATTATTGTTTTCTTCTTTGAAATCTTGTTGTAGGTGCTGTGTAAGACCTTCAGTCTCTGTGCCTGCTCTCCCGTTAAGGGGAGAACATCTGCCTTGCAGGATAATATGAGTGCCTAAACCTGTTAGGATAAGTGACTGGATAAATAGATATTTGTTTCTCTTCATGATGGCAGCTTTCTTCTTTCTTTCTTTTTCTTAAAAAAAAACCCCAAACCAAGCCCAAAACCAAACACAAAACCTCATAAATATTTAAGATAACTTGGATGACACTGCTTGTTTCCTTAAACTAATGCAGGACATGTTCTTAGGAAACAAATATAGCATCTAAACAAAGGATCCCAGGCACTGAATGGAAGGAAATGTGCCTCAGTACCATAACTACAACTAGTTTTCAGGTACTTCAGGGTACAGGTAAGTGAAAGAAAAGTAGAAGAAGTTAGAATATGTCACAGGTTGTGGATGAATATTTTTTTAAAAACACTGCTTCTTGGTAGATAGTTAGCTGTATGACCCATGCCCAAGATATTTTAACAAAATAACTTACAGCATGGAACATAAGGCAGGGAATCTTTCCTGATGTTTTTTTCATTCAAACCAGTACCCATGTGTCCATTGGAGAACACATATCTAATGTGTTTTACCAATAATTGGCTTGGTAATTCTCATTTTGATTCTTTGGTGTTAGTTCACTTACTGGTTAAGTTTTTCCAGATGCTAATTCTTTATCTTTTGTGTGAGATCACTTTTCCTTCCTTCTCCTTCCTCCTTCCCCCCCATACCTCCCCAAAGGAGATAAATCTCTTGACAATTCAGCTTGACATTTGTATTGCTTGTACCAATACATACTGGCATTTTAGTGCACTTCTGTTATCCTCCCAGAATATTTTTAGTTCACTTATATTTTTCTTGCTTCTGTAACTACTACTGAAATTATTTAGACAAATAGAAAATTAAGCAGAATTCTTAAAATCGTATTTGGAATACTTTGTTCCCAGCTATTTGTCCTGTCACAGTGTAAATAAATGAATATGACTTGTTATTTGTGATATTTTTCCATTTTAAGGTGCCAACTCCTCAAAAATTAGAACTGTTAAAAGCAAAAATACAGGAGGAATTGGAATCTCCAATGAGAGAACGTTATCAGAAGCTAGAAAATGTAAGTAAGTATTGGAATTTCATTTTGTTTAGAGCAGTAAGCACCACTTTATAATTGTACCTAAAACTTTAGGAAATGAAAAATGAAAGGGGAGCAAAGCATAACATTCTTAGTCTGCTGCTGTTGTCCCAGGCAGGGAAGGTTAGAATAGTGGAAGAGGGGGGAGGAGGCATTCAGTATATCAAACCTAACTTGTGAAATGATGGGAACATTGCATGGACATTTGAAGGAAAAAATCTGAAAACTTTTGATTTATTTTTTTTCCCCTAACTTAGGAAGTGGAAAAATACAGAACACTATATAACAAGCTTCGTTATGAACATACTTTTCTGAAATCAGAATTGGAACATCAAAGGGAAGAACATGAACGTGTTTTAGAAGGGATGAAAATAAAATACGAGTCTGAGGTACACAGAACGTTGTAGCAGCTTAGAATGCCTCTGATGACAAACCTGTTTGCCCAGTTGTTGTGGAAATGGTGGTATTTGATGGGTTGTCAGTTTGACACCATTTCATAGTGTTTGTTTCCATTCGCTTAATTCTTGAAACTCTTCCGTGTCTTAGCCTAAAGTTGCCTCTGTGGGTTTGTTCAGTGACCTGTTGCGGTATCATATGTGGTATTAAAAGTAAGAATAACTTGCCTTCTGGTACAGGGCAGCCAGTAGGTTTGCTTAATGCCTTTTTTGATGGCATTTGTGATGGAATTCAAGATAGTACACTAATTTGAAATTAATAAGTTATCTGAGTAACTGATGGAAGTTTAACTTTTAAATTACTTATGTGGCAACTAATCCAGGAAGAAGAGAGCAGAAGGTGTTCAGAGCAGATAAGGGTACATTTTGCATTGTAATCAAAAGGATACTGAAAACTTTGGGAGCTTTATTTCAGTTGTATGAACTATTGATTAAACCATTCATGATTTTGTGTTTCAGAATTGGACTTTCAGAAGTGTATGCAGCTAAATAAATTGCCAGCTTATGTGTGTTTTAAATATATACAGCAGTGTAAATGAGTGTTGCATACATCATTTGCATATTCATCTAAGTATTTGTCTGGGAGCATATATTCTAGGATGCCAGATTTGAATGTATTACTCCAAACATCAGACACAAATCAAAGCAATCATCACTTTCAAAATCAGTCCAAGTTTGCAAATGCAATGCATTAAAAACAGAACAGTTGTCCTTCCTGGAGCTAAACGCACATGCTGCTTTACAGCCTGCCTCTCATGGGCTGGTTGAGTTTGTGCTAGTCCTGCGGCTAATTAGCACACTTACAGAGAACGAAACTACCTTGAGCCCAGGGCACAATGTGATCTGTTTTCTCTCTCTTAAAGCCTTTTTAACCTTCCATGCTGTGTAGCACAGGGGAGATACGAAAACATCCTCATTCTTAAATGAGATTGGTTTTCCTGCATAGAGAACACTGGTGCAACTTCTAACAGAACTGCTGCAATGAGAGACTAGTCTCCACATATCAAGAGAAATCTTACATACCTTACTTTCTCACTCTTTTGCCCCCAGTACTACGTTCTGTCCATGTAACTCTTTTTGAAACACTAGAATCTATATATTTATGTTAGTTAGCTGCAGTTTCCAGATTAGTTTGTATCTTTTGTACTACCTTGTAACAGAAAGATCATTCTTTTTTTTTATTTATTGTTTGTCTGACAGGGCCCAATCATGTAGACTATTTTGAGTTCTACTGTAGTTATAAAATGGTTGAATCATAATATGAGTTGGAAGAGACTTCTTTCTAGTCCAAAGCCCTGCTTAAAATATTGAAATGTAATGAGATCGGGTTGCTCAGGGCCATGTCCGGTCAAGTCTTGAACATCTGCAAGGATGGAGATTCCACAATTTTTCTGGCCAAACTATTTCAGTATTTAACCATCTTCATGGTAAACGTTTTTCATAATACTTAGTTGGAATATCACATGTTCCAGCTTCTGCCTGTTGCCTCTCTTCCTATCACCTTGTATCCTCCTTCTCTTCTCCAAGCTGAGGAGGCATAGTTCTCTCAGCCCGTCTTTGTATGTCATGTTCCCCAGCCCCTTGGCCATCTTATTGGCCATCCGTTGGACTTGATTCAGTTTGTCACTATTCTTTGTGTACTGGACACAAGCTCCAGATGCAGCCTTACCAGTACTGGAAGGGGAACAAAGGATCACCTCCCTGGATCTGCTAGCTATCCTTCTACTAATCTGCCAGGATTCCATTGTCATCTTTGCTGCCAGGGTACTCTGCTGATTTATCTTCAGTTTGTTGTCCACTAGAAGCCCAAGATCCTTTTCCATGGAGCTGCTTCCTAGTCAGTTGCTCCCAGCCTGTACTGTTGCACTGGATTACTCCATCCCAGATGCATGGCTTGCTCTTCTTGTGAGGAGGTTCCAGTCCAGTCCTTCAGCCTGTCTAGATTCCTCTGAATACTGCCCTCTAGCACATTGACCATTTCCGTCCAGTTTGGTGTCACATGCAGCCAAGATTGCAGCTGGTGACTCCACCCCATTGTCCACTTTGCTGATGAGGACATCAATCAGTATTGGACTCTAGTGATCTCAAAAGGACCCCACTAGTTACAGGCAGTCAGCTGGTCTTTGCACCACTGATCATCTTCTCTGAGCCTGGCAGTCCAGCCAGTTTCTGACCCACTTTGTCATCCACTTTTCTAGCCCAAATCTCACTGATTTGTGAGAGAGAAGATTATGGGAGACTGTATCAAAGGCCTTGGGAAAGTCAAGGTATCCACTGCCCTCTCCTTGTCTGTAGTGCCAGCAATCTCTTTCTAGGAAGCAGAGAAGTATGTCAGGCATGATTTGCCCATGGTAAACTCTACTTTCCCTCACCTTGAATCTCATGTGCTTAGAAATGGCTTTTAAGAGGTTTTGCTTCATAACCTTCACTGATGTGAAGCTGACTGTCTTGTAGTTACTTGAATTCTTCTTCTTGACCATTTTGTTCTTCTTGATGGTGTGTGTGCTGTCCATCTCTTTCCAGTCATCAGGAACCTTCTCTGATCACTGTGACTTTTCAAAGGTGATAGAAAGCCTTGCAAAGGTACCAGTGAGCTTCTTCAACATGCTTGGATTGATTTCAAGGACTTGTGTGTGTCCAGTGGATTAAATGATTCCTAACACTTTCTCTCTCTCCTCTGGGTACTGCTTTACTCCCACAGACTGATAGGAAGCTCAGGGACTGAAGCAAAATTGCCTTGAAGAATAGGCCTGTTGATTTTCCTATTCTAGGATAAAGGAAACAAATGCTAATGTAATTTCTTAGTATTTTAAATGCCTACTGCTGCTCTTTTCTGAATTGCCAACTGCTGTTTTTGTTGCTGCCTGACACCTAACCAATGTAAAAGCTTTTATTTTTCTGATTAACAACTCTCAGATTACAAGACTGGGTAAAGATCATGAAGAACTCCTTAATCAGCTGCATAGTGTTGATCTCTCAAGGGACAGTAAACGTGTGGAGGCACTCTCTAGAGAAAAGGCACAACTGTATCAGAAATTAAAAGCCTTGGAAGAAGAGGTAGCAGAACTAAGAGCAGAAAGACACAATTGTGGTGTGCAAGCAGAAAATGTTCAAAGAGTACAAGCACGGCAATTAGCTGAGATGCAGGCTATGATGCGATCTCTAGAGGTAAGACTTCTTTCTGTATTATTTTGTCTCCTTGTAGAGTATAGTGAGAATAACATTTGGCCTGACAGAGCTGTCAGTGAAGTCACCGATCATTTTGCCATTGACTCCAGAATTTGAATTTCTTCAGATTTAAAATCAAATTAGAAGTATATTGGGAGTCATGTACTGCCAGTTCAGCTTTGGAAGGGTGGAGAGCTCAACTGAGAGATTCTGTTGAATTATTCTGTTGAAGTGATATCCAGGATTGCAGTCAGTAAAAAGGTCATGTCAGCATTTGCCACTTGGCTGGACTTAGAAACCAATGACAATACGTTAATAATCTGCTACAATAAATTTTTTATTCTTTTCAAAAATGTCACATGATGCTCCCCTATTTCTTTAATCCTTTCCTCATCTGATATCTTCTTTCTTTTTACCTATGCCTCTCTTCTTTCTCCAACACATTACTGCAACTGTTGCTTTCTTGGCTGTTGCTCACCCTTAAAGCACCATGAGTATTTCTGGCCTGTTGTACGTTTTCCAGGATCCCACTGTTTTCCTCATGTGTGATCCTCAGTCCTCCTGTCAGTTCTTGCTGTCTCTAGGTAGTGAGGCGTTTCAGGTAGGTTTCTCACACAGTTGCAACACACAGATAGACGGTTCATTTTCCTTTTTACTATTGTCAGTGCTGTATACCTTTGTTACAAAATGCTCTGATCTCAACTTTAAAAGTGTTGTAATATTCTTAACTTGGAAAACTTAAAACATGAAGTCATAGGTTAGATTACCTTTTTGATATTTAGTAAAGCTCAAGGTCTTGGGTCTATAAGATTCACAGTCATTGCATTTTATTTCCTCTCTGTGATGTTAGTTCTTCAGCCAGTATACTTGTATCAGCCAGCATAGGACATCTTTTTGAGCACCACTTGTAGTCATACTGGTGTTTACAGCCCAGTAATTTACTGGTAAGCACATCTCCTCCCTCCTGACCAAGTCAGATTACCTCTGCCTCTTGTGAAGGAGGATTGAAAATGTGTGTGTAGGAAGTGCTAGTGAAAACAGTCACAATTTTTGAGTAAAATTCAAGACCCATGGTGTATTGGAACATATTGTTGAGCAAAGGTAAGTATTTGTATGTCATATTATATAATATATAGTCAGTAATATCTGAAAGCCCAGATCAATTGAACCTTTCAAGTGAATAGCAAGAAGTAACCCTGCTCCAAAAATCTTACACCTTCCTCCTTCATTCAAGGCAGAAAAGAAGTCTGCCGAACTACAGATTGATCGAATTAAGAAAGAGCTGCAGATGAGTCATGAGCAAAACATTCTCTCAACTAGCAATCTTCACAAATCTGAACGAAAAGCTGATTCCTTAGCTGCTAAAGTAAGTGCTTTTATGGTATCTGAAATACTTTTTTCATATCCTCTTATGTTTAAGTTTTTGTGTTTATATTTTGCTCTAAGAATAAAGTAACAATGTCTTCTGCTGTGTCTTGAAATAAGTTCGGAATTTTTCCCTCAATTTCAGTTGGCAGATATAGAAGATGTGACTTTACAAAAGAAATGTCATACCTAAAATTATCTCTAGAGGCTGAGGTTATGCTCTTATTTCATTTTCTAGATCTTTTTCCTAGACAGAACAGGACTTGAAGAGGTATCTTTGTATTCATGTTTTTAGTGCTCATGCAAACAGCCAGGCTGATTTGATGGAAACAAGCATTACTTTTTCGTAAAATGCAATAGAGCTTTAAATTGATTTTTTTTCCTTTTTTCTGCTTTTTAATCTAGCTATGGCTTCTGGAGGTCTTAAAAGTATCTTCTGAAGGGGCTGTGTTAGCTATAGGAAGCAAGCTGGAATTACCTGTAGAGATTTAGGTAGTATTAGAAGCAGGATTGTCACATTAGCATAGGGTTAATGCCAGCAGAGCCTGTACAGAAACATTTTGGTACAGAAATTTTGGTCCTTACTTAAAAAAAGTTCTAACTTACCATAAGAATAGGCTAGAGCTGTAACAGTATTTAAAGCCTCTTTATATATATAATGTGTCATACTTGTCCCACATGAATGCTAAATAGGAGGGGAAAACTTCTGTTAAACATTTTTCAATCAATTGCCTATCAGAACATATAGAAGATTATTAGTCATTACTTCTTGTATTAACTGGTGGTCTCTGCTCACCTCCAGAAGTCGGACAAAATAAAAGGTTCAGTGGTGTTCCTCGAAGGGAGGAAAGTAAAAACTAATTCCTTTGCTAACCTCCACCCCCTTGTGCACCCACTCAAACTTATTCCTGAGCACAGGGGCACATGTTTGTCTTCTGGATTTAGTGCCTTAAAAAAGCCACCTTAAATCTTTGCAAGTTGCCCCGAAATGTTCTCAACTTAGTATTTAAGCAACCAAATCCACCATGTAGTTACTTAATAAGCTACCATGTCATTCTTAACCTTTGCCACTTGTATATGCTAGCAGGTTGTAATTACATTTGTCATTGTGATTGGATTTTCATTATAAGTGCTTTCCTCTAGATATTTAATTCTCATTGACCATGTAATTACTGTGTACAAATGCCTAAACTATAGAAAGTTTCCATGCAAGCAGTAATTTTCTTTGAGTTGATGTTCTTAGAGCTCCTGCTTTTATGGGGCCATTTGATGTGTATGTAGAGAAGTATTTGATTTAAAATGCACTTTAAAATTATGAAGACCTGGATTTTGAGAAAGTAGTGTAGCATTCCAGGAGGTCAGGGGGATTCAAAGTAGTTACCAAACTGAAATTACTTGGGGGAGCAACTGATAATCTGAATTTGGATATCACTGTTTTGTTTTACTTATGGAGATTAAATTTAACCTTAATTTAGCTTGACTCTGAGGGGTCTTTAGTCAGAAGTGAAGTAAATATACATCAATTTCTTATAGTTGATGTGGTGCTGTTTTTCTAAATTATAGGTAGAGGAACTTAAACATTCACATAAATTGGAAATAACAACTGTCAAACTGGAGGCAGCAAGAGCAAAAAGTGAGGTAGAAAGAGAGAGAAACCAGATTCAAAGTGAAATGGATGGTAAAGTGTGATATTATTTTCTAATTATTTCTTTTGTCATGTCTAGTTAGAGTAATACAATTATTTTTCCCCTGAACATTCCCCAGCAGCCTTCACCTTCTACTTCTGGTCTAGGTCATAGGGCTGACAATTTTTCTATCTGAAGTAACTGTGTTGTTTCATTTGCTTTAGTAGGTTAAGAAAAGTTATAGCACAATTTTGCATTTATGTAAATTAGTGAATTTGTGACGCAAAGTGTTGGGCCCTATGAAATATGAAACTAAATACCAGCAAGATTTAAGTTAACCTGAACTTGCTGTGGAATTCACTTTGCATCCTCACTGACTTAGCTCAATAACCAGGAGTGATTGTTAGAGCATGTTGGCTTATTTGCCAGTGAACACAGGTGTCTCAGTCACAGACTTTAAATTGTATCGTTCGTCCCTGCGTATAGAGTCGTAGCTTTAGAATTGCCTCATTTGGTAATGTAAGTGGAGTAAAATGTGGAATTTGTTGTAGCCTGGTTACTGTGGTTTCACTGGTAACCGGTTACTGTTCACTGTAAACTTTTCCAGAAAAAGGAAGTTTTCTTGCTTGACCTTTTCACAGCTATTGTGGGACCCTTTTTCTTTTAAAGTCCAGACACAACTGTGTAGTAAAAATTGCTATAGAGTTTAAATCTATAATAATAGCAACTGTTTACTTACTTTCGTATATTAAAATAATAAATTCTTGTAGCAGAGATTCTGCTGTGATGGTTACTTTGCAGAAGTGTTTGAAATGTTGCTGTTCTCCTAAGAAAGGTCATGTCTCTTCTGGTGTTCTTGTGGTTTGATTTTTTTTTTTCCCCTTCCCCTTCATTCTATTGTGTGAATTGTGATTTTTAGCTCCCTTTTATGCATTTATAAAGTTATTTAAGTACTGGATTTCATCAGGTTGTTATCAGTAATGACATTTTAACTTTTTTTAATGTATAATGCAGGATTGCTGTCAGAAAAGGAAATTCTTAAGGCAGCTCTTGAACGGCATAAGGTGCTTTTAGTAGAAAAGGATCGGGAGCTAATTCGTAAAGTGCAAGCTGCCAAAGAGGAAGTGTTTGACAATATTGCAGCCTTACAGTATGAAAAGTATGTTTGTTGATTTACTTCTTAACTTATACAAGGGAAGTGTTTTGAGGTACTTTTAAAAATGTCACTCTAGCAACTAAACACTTCTGGCATTTTGTAATGATTCTCGTGTGTACATGTCGAATAATGTCTCAGGTCAGAACTGGAGAACAGAGTAGCTGATCTAGAGAAGATGAAACTGGATGAAGATACTTGGAGACAATCTGAAAAGGATCAGTACGAAGAGAAACTACATGCTGTACAGATGGCAGAAGAATCTAGCAAAAAGGAACTTCAGAGTCTGCGGTAATGTGGCTTTTCTAATCTTAGCACAAATTTCTCATTTTCCCCCTTAATTTCTTTCCAGTAGGCAGTATAAAAGTTTGCTATTCATAGATACAGAAATCTTCATTATGAGATGTTCAGTGTGGAATATTAAGCAAAATTATCTTTTGTGTTATGTAAAAAAGAGGGCAGAATAAAAAATTAACCGTTTAAAAAAAATAACATTTTGCATCCAGACGTTTAAATGTTGACTAATTTCAACAAACATTGTCGTAATTTTGAAATACACATCTGTTAAAACCGTTTCCATGTTAACTGCTGACACAGCCCCAGTGTTAGGGTAAACCATTTCTTTTTCCACAATGGCACCTTACCAGTGACTGGCAAACTGGGACCCTAGTACGACGTCTCTTTGGGCTGGTTATGATGGTTGTGAGTTAAGCTGGTTTACTATAGTGTTTGTATGAAGCTCAGTATGGTAAAATGAATGAAAGTCATACTCCAAAAGCAAACAAAGCAGTGTATTTCTTACTCCTGTGTCAACTCTAATAAGCGATAAAAATATTTTTTGGATCATTGTTTAGTTAAATATTTATCAGCCTTTCAAATAATGCAATATATTCTATTGTCAGATTGGTTTCTCCTAATTTATAGCATCTGTATTTTGATTAGATAAAAATAAGTATGTCTGCAATTTTAGGTTAAAAATTCAACAGCAAGCTATGCAGACAGAAGAACTAGAAGAAAAGAAACATGAGAATGCTAGTCTGAAACAGGTACGCTTTTATTGCATTGTAATGTTTTAGAGAGAAATACAATCTTTCCTGCAGTTACCATGTCTTGTGTTTGAAGATTAGATTGAATTTTTAAGGCTTTTTTTTTTTTTCCTAAGGGATAAAATGCATACAACAGATATTTAGAAGGAGAAGTGTTTAGAAATCAATCATGCTTTTCTGGACCTTTATAAATGGATTACAGCTTTTTGCTTCATGTGTTTTGTGGCTACCAGGGATTTCAAAGCTGAATGTTTATAGACTGGTATATTGAATACAGTTATGCACTATTTAACTGGAGATTCAGTTTCCATGGAGACTTATAAATTGTTTCTAACTAATGCTTTGCATTTACACTGCATCTCTCATCTGAGGTTCTTCAAGTGCTTAACAGATGTTTCATAAATGAACAAACTAGTGTAAAGAGGTATATTTCTATTGCAGAGTCAATTGATGGCAGCATTGAAAATAAACCATAATTTTTTTAACTCCTGCTCACTCCTGATGTTATTTAGTAGGTAAGAACAATAGCTGTGCATCAAAGTACTCTGCAAGCTGTGTGCACTTGAAGTTCGAGGCAATTATTTTTCTTCATCCAGAAATCAGAAATTGGGGTATCTAAGTGTCCATGTGAGGAGAGGAAAAGGAAAGGGAAATCATCACTTCTCTGTGCTGGCTGCAGAGGTTGATTTCAGGCTCTGTGCTTCCCTGTTTTTGTGAACTGTTGGTGCAGTCACTGCTGGCTGGAACACCCCGTGTGTTACGAGAGAGAAGAGCCTGGGCAGCTCCACAGCTCTGCTACTAAGTGTTGTGTGGTCCTCTCGTTCTGTTCCACCCTGGGGTTTAATGTTGGATTTCTGAACTTCTGGGGGACGCATCACTGGCTGAGGAGTCCTACCTCCCTCTGTCATTTTAACTGCAATAGAAACCCCTCTTTGTCTAGCAGTGATTTGCTGTAAAGCTTCTGAAGAAACTGTTGAGTAAGGAGAAAAGGAACAATTAAGAAAGGCTTATGAAAAGCTGAAGCCAGTTGGGGTCTCCATTTAGCACTGTCTCAGTATCTCAAAATTAATTGTTGGTTATTTGCATATCTTCTCAAATGGAAAAAATTCATATTTTTTTTTAGCAAATTCATGACATGCAATTCCAGCTTGCCTCACTTTCTCAGTCGAAAAATGATTTGCTGGAATCTAATCAGAAATTGAAGGAAATGATAGAGGGATTGAAACAAGAATGTCAGCATGCAAGGACTCAGGCAGAGAAAGCTCAACTGGAAACAGAGAAGTAATTTTCTTCTTCCTTTTGCCTTTTTCCATGTTGTTTGTGTTCCTCTCATGTGAATTGCTTAACTATGGATTGTAGATTCTGAATAAAGTCAGGAAGTAAAAATGAACAGGAAACTCCAGACAATTGTAAAAAGCAGCGATACGTTCTGTTGTGCACTGTGTAGGAAAGCTTTGCTCATGGTAACTTCATAAACCGTTTATTTCCATTCATGTCTCTTACAATTAATTATTGATCACTGAAACCCACTGCTTGTATAAAATGCAATCCTATTTATACTGAAGTGACTGTCAAACTTCTCTAAGTGTATGTGGATCTAGAGTTTAAGACACAGTTCAAGTAGTAAGGGTGAAAAAAGCATTCAGGCATTGTATTATGCTTTGATTAGGTTTCAGGGACACAGTCAGTGCATGTGTGAATATGCTTTTTTTTTCCCTTCCCACTAGATACTTTTAGCTGATATGAGGCAAATAAAAGCTTATTGGATATATTCTGGTTCTTCTTAGCAAAATTAAAAATAATCACTTTCCTTTTTTCCACAAGCTTGACCACATACCATCAACATATGACAATAAATGCTAAAGGAAGCGAAGTCTTGTTCAGATTCCACATAACAATGAACACTTTTCTGGAATTTAAAGATTGATTTGGCGATGACTCTGAAATGGCTCTTTAGCATTTCCTAGCCTAATAACCAAATACATGTCTAACTTGCACTGAATTACTATGTGGTGGGTTTTTTAAAAAGTTGGTGTGCCAGATTAAGTATAAAACTCCCAAAGGATATAATGTGGCTTTTTTTTTCTTTAACATCTCTTTTGCTATGAATTGATGCTGCAATTGCTCTGTTGTCATTAGTTTAGGTATTGCTTTTCAGTTTAACAGTGGAAGATACTGCGTTGGGACTGCAGAGTATGTTTGGTTGTCAGTAGCATGTTAAGTACTTTGGATGTTTGCTCTAGGGAGGTGTATTCATATTTCAAGTGATTGTTGCTGTTCCTTGAGTGAGACTGACAGTGTCATTTACATATTTATGGGCCACAGACCAGGCAGGACTAGATTCTCTGGGGAAGGCAGTAGAAGGAACCTCAGACACCATTGTACAAGTATGTAACAAGTAGGTAATGAGAGATGCACCAAGGCTGATAGTGCAGAAATTAAGCAGCTCTGCAGCCTACATGTGAGTCCCCCAGGTCTGTCCCATTCTTACCCTGGGAGCCTTGGGACATGTTTCTATTCTTTTTATTAATCTGTGGGTAATAGGACTTCCTTCCTCAGTTCAGTAATTCTTAGGAGCTTAAACTCTAAGAGAGCACCAAAGCAAGAGGGAGTGAAATAGGGACCAAAAGACAAGAAAACATAAAAAATTTCAGACAAATAAAGTAATGCCAGTTGAACATTGAGTGTAAGCAGGCAAACCAGCTGCAAGCCTGGCTGTGTAAGGCTTGGGCTTGGAAAGGAAAATGCGAAATGAGGAAAAGGACTGAAGGCAAACTGTGAGACCGATTCAGATCAGATGAGCTCAAACAAGCACCTGTTAAACATTTCAGGAACAATGTTAGCGGCATTTAAAAACTAAAACACCCGACAACTTAAAAAACCCCACGAAAAACCCAACTCATAGCATTTTTGACCACTGCCTCAACTGAAATCCTCTTAGTGCTAAGCAGTGCTTGTTGAAAGTGCTTTGGTTCCAGGGTACTAGTAGTTATTGACAGTCATAGACAGATTGACTTAGATGACAGACAGCTGTCATTTGAATGACAGACAGCTGTTGTACAGAGAGGTACACACCACACTGGGCCTGCTAAAAGAGCTGTGACAGTTACCAAGTGGGCCAGGACTGTTTCCAATATGAGAGTGGATGATGTCTAATACTACTATTGTGGGGAAGGGAAAGGTGGTTTGGCAAGAAATTTATGGAGATTCATTCAGAGTCCCTGTGGGGAAACTGCATCAGCCCAGGACTGGAGGGCTATGGATGCACTGACATGAAGCCTTGGACTGTGTTTCTTAAAAACTGCTGCATAGAATCTCACCATTTGGTTTTATTTTGTAATAGTAATGTAGTTAAATATGCAGTTAGTTCTTGTCTGCTTCGACTCGCAATGCAGATAACCCAAACAAACCAGGCAGCAGAGAGAAACTGGCTCCTTTCCTATCCACTGCTAGAGAACACAGCCTAATTTTAGTATGTTTTAACCACACAAAGGTCTAAACAGATAAGATATGCCATTGGTGGTGTGTGTTCAGCTGGAATGTTGTCTAGAAACAATACTGACGAGAGCTTCCTGTGAACTCGTGTTTGTTCTGGTCGGGAGCACACACTAGTCCAAGTCTGTACTTCTCTGTTACAAAGACACAGTGGACTCCACAGGGCAGCACCCTGTTCTCCCAAACAGAGAAGGTAGTTGTCAGCTCTTCTGACAACTGCTGTTTGGCATAGGTGTCTACTCGCGTGTTCCAGTGTGGTTGTTTGATCTGAATGTAGGAATTTCCTGTGGGTGGTTTAGCAGTGTGTGCCAATCCAACAGGGCACCAGCAATTAGCTAGCTTATTGGAACTGGGTTTCAAAATTTGCCTCATGGTTGAACAAGACCTAGGACAATGTTAATGCACAGGCTCAAATGTTGTTGGTCACAATTAGATTGTTAGAATAATCAAATATAAATCAACTTTCAAGTTTATAAAGGCAGGAGATGTGAGAAGATGCATTTGTTTTAAGAGCCTTAAGGCATTAATGGAACACACTGCTTTGTTTGTATAACCTCTTAACCTTTTAACCTGATTTTTTCAAAGGACTTTAGAATACCAACGTATAGAATGGCTGAAGGAGAAGCATGTGCTTACTCAGGACATGACAGAATATGAAGAGAAATACAAGCAAGTGAAGAGCAAGCTGTCTCGAGCTGCTGTTGCTCAGAAAAAGGCATGTTGACTCCTCCTTTAGCAATGGTCCAGTTTATGAGAAGTTCAGCTTTACAGTGGTCAGTTAGAATTGTTTCAACGTTCAGTTTATTTGCAGTCTACTGCATATATTAACTAAACATGTCAGGTTCTTGAAGATTAGCATAGAAATAGGTTGAAGTGACATGTAAAAGAATATTACATTCAACAACTTTGTTATAATGCCCTCCCAGATTTTGTGAGGCTTTCTTTGCACACACATGTGTGCATACATGGTTAGTTAAGAGGTGGACCCCTTAATTAGTGATGATGATGGTGCTGAACAAATGATGTTCTACTTTTCCTTGAGGGAATATTAAAATTTTATCTCTTCCCCTAGGCTTTTTATGAAATAATTTGAAAGGAAAGGCAGATTAATTGTTTATAAAAGCTCAAGATTAATTAGCCGCTTTATATACTGCACATATACAGGTTGTGAAATCTACCAGTAGCTTTTAAGGTTGTAAAAAGTTAAGGTCAACATGAGCCAAAAAAAAAAAAAAAAAATCAAAAAAAGAAGAAAGCATACTTTGTTAGCCATGTTTATACTCATTTTTCCATGGGCAATTAAAGAATGAGTTTTGTAATTCTCAAATACAGATACTGTTTGTTAGTACAGTTGGTCACTGACCAGCAAGTGACCAGCAGCTGTGCATCTTTCAGTCCCATCTCTTCTGTTTCCCATCGTGGGAATCAAAGCACCTTCAAACAACACAGCTCCTCTTCTTAAGGAAGGAAAATCCTGTAAACTGTCACAGCTTGAAGCAATGTACAGTGTAGATTTAATTTTTACAGGATCTAATCTATCAAGGTATTACTTAACTGCGTGAAATGTCTGTTTGGCAGAGAAAGCTTCTCAATGACAACAAACAAAGGAGGATGCGTGAGAAACTAGAACTTTTGGAAGCCAAGATGGAAGAACTAGAAAAAGAAAATCAGTTGTTAAAAAGGTAATAAACTTTGCTTTTTCTTAGCTTGAAAAGCTTTATATGCCCGAAATCTGACTTACAAATATGCAGTGTTTTTGAAGATACAGGTCATCTAGTTTAGTAACCAGAGTCCAGTCTAATAGTCCTTTCAGCACTAGAAGTCTTTGTTCAGGGTGGGCAGCTGAGAGCTTGTAAGACAACTGCAGGGCTGCCTTGTGAGGAAGAGAGAGAGGAAACAGGCCCGATAGAGGCAGTTGCAGGAATCCCTTCAGATGAAGACAGTGAAAAAGACTTCAGAATTGTGAGAGAAACAGACTTAGCATCCTCTGAAAGATAAAGTCCTGGTTCTTCTCTTCATTGAGCACCTGTGGAGGGCTTGATTTGAATAATTAATTTGATACGGCTCCTGTGACTCCCTAATGTGAATGGTATTAAAACCTGAATGTATTCTATGTAAATTCTAATCTATAATGCAGCTATAAACAGATAGCTTAATATATAGAGAGGCTTTTAGACAGACATGTAGGAAAAAGAATATACACAGGTCTTCTGCTTTCCAGTTCTTCTGCTATATAGGGTTAGATAGTAAACTAGGGATAGCAAACAGCAGAGTGCTCATGCAGAGGTGTGCTGCTGTGTTAGGATAGCAAAGACTTTGAGCAACAAGATGTCTCTCATTTCCTAGGTGGAATGTTTCCCATGAAGAATATGCACGGCTCCAAAAGAAACTGAAGGACTTCCAACACAGGCACAGTGAATTCCGGAGTATAATTCTGAATCCTAACATCCCATCGCTGAATCCAGTTGGTATAAAGCCATCGTCTGCCTTGCCTCCTGGGCCTGAAGTGTCCTTCCCCCTTCTCCAGGTGCTGATGTATTGCAAGTCATGAAAATAATACAACAGAAGAGGGTACTGGAGCAGTCCTCCTTTACAGACCTTAGTCTTAAGGAAGGAGTATTTCATCTTTGAACAGAGGAAGGAAACTTTTAGGCATCTAGAGATGTTCCCTTCCTCACAATAGGAAGCAGTGCTTGAAAGACAAAGGATATGTTACAGAATGTAACAAACAGGTAGTTTTAACCCAGCTCTCCATACTTTGTCCTTCTCCTAAGAGGCTTTAAATGGCTCCTTCTAAGCCAGAAATACCGTAAGTGGTGTTCTCACACCATAGTTTCATTATTACAGCAGCAGTATTGCTGCTCTTGATTTCTGATGTGGTTAAAAGAGACTTACACTGAGCCTTCTGAGGGTGAGAGCAGCTCTGGTTGAGGTTGACCAGATTGACTTTTAGAGGTCCTTGGTTACCAAGACCAGGTTTGTGTGCTGCTTCATCTGAGAGGATGAACAGCTGCATGTATATTTCTTGCTGATGCTGTTCGTCATGAATGTCAAACCAATAACCACAAAACATTGATGAGTAATGTTTAACAAATAAGGATATTTTTGACTTTGCAATGAAATTATTGCTCATTTTGGTCCCTTGTAGATGTGCAAAATGTAATACAGCCACTATTTTTTCATTCTTTTAATTCCAAGGAGGAGCAGCATCAAAGAGATCTTTCCCTGCTTCGCAAGCGGTTGGAAGAACTAGAAACCACACAGAGAAAACAGCTGGAAGATCTTGGCCCAGCTAGAGAGCGAGTAACAGTGGGTGCATACAGAGACTTGGCAAGACATAAGATCAGTGGAGAAGGCGAAGAGCAAAGTGAGGACTCCAAATAAATCTGCAAACTCTTCATGCTGTTAGCTTTCAATAATTTATCCTTTCTACATGCTTTTAATATTTTGCCAAAAACATGTTTGTACGTGCCTGAATAGATTAAAATATATTCTGCATAGTTACCCCTTGTTGTAGGTTGGGTTTGGGAATGGTATTCCCCAATTTAGTGTTCCCACAGAAACCCCCCAGACCACGTGTGCTGCTTGCTCACTCCCTCCCCCCCTTCCCCTGTGGGGGATGGAGGGAATTGGAGGCACAAAAGGTAAAGATCACGGGTAGAGATAAGAACAATTTACTAAAACCAGCAATGATATAAGAAAACAAACAGTAACAACAATACTAATAACAGGGTGTGCAGGGCAGGCAAATGACTCCCGTGTCATCACTCACCACACAGAACCTGGTGACACACCACTGCACACACTGCACACAGCTGAGCTGGAAGAGTATCCACCCTCCTCTGTCTCATCTGCATGGCCTGAGGTGGTACAGAATAACCCCAGGGTCCTGGTGTGCCTCTCCTGGGTGCTGCAAAAGTTAACCCTGTCCTGAAGGGAACCAGGACACCTCTTTGTGGTGTTCAGCTTGTTTAACTGCTTGGACTAAGGACAACAGTACCTTTTGCCACTTGGAACCATAAAAGCCATATCTTATACATCTAGGGTTGGCATCTATGGGGGGACACTCCCTGGATTTCAGGTACCAATGCTGTGATACTTGGCACAGCAGTGGTTACAGGCTCAATATTGGGATTCCATCGCAGACTGTTTGTTCCTGCTCAACTAGACTTCCCACTTCTCTCAAGTTCCTGATCCTCCTGGTGGGTGTTGGGAGAGTGAAGTCCCTCCCAACTATAAGTGAAGAGCAGGTTCCAGACAATGTGATGAAGCTGAATAGCCACCAGTCTGTGGGACCTGATGACATGCATCCCAGGGTCCTGAGGGAACTGGCTGATGTTGTTGCCAAGTCACTCTCCACCATATTTGAAAAGTCATGTGAAGTCCCTGGTGACACAGGAAGGACATGGAATGAGTCCAGAGGAGGGCCATGAAGACGATCAGAGGCATGGAGCACCTCTCCAATAAGGAAAGGCTGACCCAACTATAAGTGAAGAGCAGGTTCCAGACAATGTGATGAAGCTGAATAGCCACCAGTCTGTGGGACCTGATGACATGCATCCCAGGGTCCTGAGGGAACTGGCTGATGTTGTTGCCAAGTCACTCTCCACCATATTTGAAAAGTCATGTGAAGTCCCTGGTGACACAGGAAGGACATGGAATGAGTCCAGAGGAGGGCCATGAAGACGATCAGAGGCATGGAGCACCTCTCCAATAAGGAAAGGCTGAGGGGTGGTTCAGTCTGGAGAAGAGAAGGTTTTGGGGAGACCTAACTGAGGTTTTCCAGGCCCTGAAGGGGGCTTATAAAAAGGGGAGGAACTTTATGTATGGGCAGATAGCGACAGGACAAGGGTCAATGATTTTAAACTGAAAGAGAGCAGGTTTAGATTAGATAGATGTTGGGAAGAAATTCCTTCCTGTGAGGGTGGTGAGGCACTGGCACAGGTTGCCCAGAGAAGCTGTAGAGGTCCCATCCCTGGAAGTGTTCAAGGCCAGGCTGGATGGGGCTTTTGAGCAACCTGGTCTAGTGGAATGTGTTTTTGCCCATGGCAGAGGAGTTAGAGCTAGATGACCTTTAACGTCCCTTCTGTGTCTGCGAACTATGGCCAAGCTATGCCCTCCTTGAGAAGATTTGTTTTTCAGGATTTTTCTACAAAGCTAAAACATGAACTAATCTCATCACATGAAACTTTGAAAAACATTTGTCAAGGTTTGGGTTGTGTTGTCGCAAAGATTTAAATCATTTTTTTAACAAATCCTTTAAACCTGCTTTGCTAATATCCTCTTACTCTGTCGATGTAGAAGATACTGTATATTGCTCTGGGTTGCTGATCATTAACAATGCTGTAATCCACATTTGGGTTGGTATTTTGAAGTTCCCATGCAGAGAGAGAGGATGAAATGAAATTTTAAAGGTTCTGCAAATTTTTATTTGCTACCCTTGGCAATGTGCTTCTTGTAATTTTTAATGAGAATAGGAAATAATAGGAAATAATTAATATAATGTGGCAGAGAGAAGTATATCAAATTACGCTTACATTATGAAGATGGAAGTTTCTATTTGTTGCTACTCTGATTTGTTTACTTAACTACAATCAAATTATTTTTTGAAGGTTGAATGTATTTATTTATTTTTCCCCATTTATCAGTTCAGTAACAGAAACTTGTAAAGGATCAATTTATATATTTTTTTTGAGTGATGTAGGAATTATTTTATCTAAGGTTTTTTTGGGTTTGTATTTTTTGTTTGGTTTTGTTCCCCCCCCAAATGCTGCATATAGTATGGGACAGTGAGATATACTGTGCACTATTGGGTAATATTATTAGCCTGCAGTAAAAGAGAGTGGAATAACCACATTGTATATGGTGATATTGACATTAGCTCAGCTCTTCTCTCCAGAGGCTCCATTTCTGGTTTTCCATACAGTACCTAAGTATAAGGATTATACTGCACTTTCTTGGGGAATTTATGTTAGACTGCTCTGGGGAAAACAGTGTGTAACTATTAGAAGTAAGGGAAGGTATTTCTGCTGTCTCCTGCAGGATTCATTTATCAGTGCCTGAGCCAACTTTGCCAAATGGAATGGTCACCAGTGCCTCCCAGCCTGGAATGGTTGCAAAGAGCAGGTTCTGGGGAGCCTCACAGCTCCATCCCTAGCACTGCCTGTGATGGCTCCAGCAGGGCACTCTGCCAGCAGGGTGGGGGAACGTGCTTCATACAAACTAGGGGAGCCTTGGAAGGCAGGAGAAGGGTAATAGCAGGAGGAAGAATGATGATCACCACGTGGTTTGTGGGCTCCCTTTCCCAGTTGGTCTCAGTTTTTTTGTGTGAGATCACCACCACCACCTTCTCCTGGATATCCTCATTTTTATCTCTTTCAAAGTTTGGTCAGCCTCAGAGCCTTTAAGCAGCGCGGTTGCACTGCAGCTCCTGCAGGCCGTGTGGAGGCACGGCAGTCAGCAGCAGCCTGTCCTTGGCCTGCTGCTGCTCCCCAGAGGTGGCGAGGCAGCTGGGAACCCCTCCCCAGGGCATCCCCCTCCCCCCGGACCCTGCGGGGTCACCGCTCAGCAGCTGAGGCTTTCGGCCCAGCACCACCCGGTGCTGCACTGTGCTTCCCAGCCTCGGTGTGAGGGCAGATGTTGGCAATAGGCTGTGCTGACCCACGTGGCTCTGCCCAGGAGCCTCGCAGGGCTGGAGCTGCAGCAGTACTTCTCACCTGATGACAGGCCATGTCCTACCCGTCTTCCTTATGTGACCTTGGATTCTTACTAGCTGTGCTTGCCTTCTTATAACCATTTTGAAGTACAGAAGTTAATCAAACTAACCTCCAAATGCTTTTATTCTAGATAAACCCATACAAACACCAACATGTATTTGTCATTTGCATTTTTTAAACCATTCATTTTAAACAACAGGTTAACTTCTGTACAACAGGAATTACTTTACACATTAGTAAGATTTGACTTCAAACTAGATGACTGCAAAATAATGCTCTGTAAGCTAGTGTTAGAAAATATGCTGTTTGCCATAGCAGTTTGCCTGTAAACATGTGAAAGGAAGTTCAAGAGAAGTTTGCCTTCGTGTCAGAGAGTGATTAGAACTGTTGGGTTGCCATAATACAGCTTTAGTCAGAGGTGGTTCTTTTTGTCCGTGTAACAGTAATGGCAAATTGCAGATACAGACGGTGTGCCAATGTTTTTTGTGCTGACCCAAACCTACCAAAAGAGCCACAATCACTTCATTATACTTCACATCACTTCGTGAGATCCACTTGATGGGTTACAAAGTCCCAGCATGACTTAAAAATGGTTTACTAACAGAGTGACGCTGTTTAGGAGGCTTGAATAAAAGGCAATAATCCTATTCCAGGCTGTAGGCTAAAACTACAGGGCCTGCTTCAACACATACTTAATCTCTAGAAATCATTAAAGCTATTGTAGCAAACAAGCAGTAGTACAAATACAGAATAGGACTGATTTTCATTTCCTCATCAATATAAACACATATAGTGAAGTTCACAGGATCAGACCCACGCAAACAGATTATATTTTACAGCTTTTTAAGCAGAAATGTTGGATTTGTTTTTTTCTGCCTGTACAGAAGATTACTGTTGAACAAAACTATCACAGTTCATTTGAATGCACTGCCAGCAAACACCTGAAGTGGAACGGAACTGTCTAACTGGAAAGAGTAATCTGCTCATGCCTCTCCTTCAATATTAATTACTGTGCTTTTTTTATTTATTTGATGCTGATTTAAAATGTTAGATTAAGAATGATAAAAATTAAGCCCTTACATACAGGTATTCCACGCTTAAGTGCTACTCAAGCCACAGTCCACTCCTTTAGGACAGAGGGCAAGACAGATTAGGGTTGGGTGTATTTTTCCCAATTAAAATTGAACTTATCAAAATACATTGTGCTAGGCAGAGAACTGCTGAAAATACTGCAACATTGTAGTGCAGTTTCCTGAACAAAGCCATACATTCCATCAAGTATAAAGTGTAAACTTAATACCAAGTGTAAGACTTGAATTAAAAAAAAAAACACAACAAAGCCATCACAGTATGGGTTGATTGGTGGCTGCCCTCTCTGGTATGCAAGAGGTACAACTTGTGCAATCACATAATAGGGAGGGGCAGACCAGTAGGCAACTGGTTTTTGTTTTTCCCATGTTACCAGGTGGCCTTGCTTCTGCCATAGCGTGGGTAGCGCGTGCGGGCGCTGGCCAGCCCTGTGCCTGGGACTATGGTGGCCTTTGTGACCAAGCCAGGCGGCTTCAGCACTGCTGTCCTGCAGCTGAGGGCTCCTCCAAAGCAGCAGCACACTGCAGTAAGCATTAGAGCACTCTGCTCCCTGAGAGCCCTGCACAGCCACCTCTGGCTGCTCACAGCCCCAGCACCGCTTTCTATACCACCCTTGGGCCGTCTGTGCCGTTCACAGCCTGTGGCACCTTTCCCACTGCCAAGGCAGGTGACAGCTCTTCCCTCTCCTGTGGGCCACTGCTATGGCACTCACCTCCAGTGGTGGATCCCTCCAGAAACTTACAGAATTGTAGCTCCATCTTAACTCCAGCCACCAATGCCAAACCTAAGGGCATGCAGTAGCCTTAGTAGGTGCCTCCTGGGACCAAAGCGGAGTCTGTGGCGACGAAGCATTTCAGCTCTATAGTGGAGCACAGGACTGTGCTGGTGTGGTAGCAGAGCCAGAGCCATGGCTGCTCCTCCGTGGCTTTGCTCAGTAGCCACTGCACCAGCCTCATCTCAGCAGCACAATCATCCACCTGCTTTCCAGCTGGGCTGACTGGAGCCACCAATGCAAATGTAATGGACACCTTCCTTTAAAAAGGCCAAGCTCCAAAACCCCCCAGCCAGACTAAGGCAGACAGTTACCCCCTCCCCACCCCAACCCCAGCTAGCACATTTGTATCAGTTTCTCATACACAGTCAGAGATTACACCAGCCCTCCTGTTCTTACATATTATTAAACTAACCTTCTTTGACAAAGCCTTTGTGGGGACAACCTGAAAAAACCCACGTTTGCTTTAGCTATGTGAGGCCCTTGTACGCAGATGGCAAACCTGGCCAGGACTGTTGGCACTGATGTGTACCCAAGTACAGGGGTATGCACCAAAGTGCAGCCATCATCAGCTGCTTAATCAAGCCTCAAGTTTTCTGATGCAGTGCAGTTTCACCTGTGAAGCTCCTCACAACTGTTTCACAGCTAACGGCAAGGTAGAAATGTAAACACAGACTGATGTGGGCCAAGTGCCTTTCTCCAAAGGCTTCCACCACCCCCACTCAGTGGCTGGCTTCACTCTGCACACGGGATTTCCAACCTAAGGAAGATAAGTCCTGCCATGTGGCATTTGGCCTTCAAACCTCACACCCACTTTTTCTGCTAAACACACTTATCCTAAGTGTCATTTTGGTGCCAGGGTTTTGTTGTTTTTTTGATGTGGTTTTTTTTCTGAACAGGACCAAGTGAACATTTGACTGGAAGGAAGGAAACTGCAGCTGACCCGTATTCTGAAGCTGGAGCTCACCCTCACAGTTTGCCAAGCTGCTGAAAGGATGTGGCAAAACATCAGCTTTCTCTCTTAAAAAAAAGAGCAAAGCAACTTGCAAGGTCACATGGGCAGCTCTGAACTTAGAGTGTGTTTTGTGCATCTCCTACGACCTTGTTTCCAAGTAAGCAGAAAGCTTACTTAGGCAGTATTTTTGGACTAATGGGTTATGTGTGTTCAAGTACCTAAAAATGCTGGCCCTGCCAACACTAGATTCACTTTCTCTTTCACATGCCCATGTTGGAACAGGTAACCCTGCCCGTACTTCATTCCCAAACACAGGTATTACTTGGAAATGGTCAAAGTGGAGAAGAGTGTCCAAATGTTTCAAACCCTGTACATATAGTCAGTCAAACAGTTTCGAGAGCAGTAGCGCTGATTTCAAATCCCCCACAGTGACGCTGTGAGTCAGTGCTCTGCTCAAAGCCATTTGCATTTTTTCTTTTCATCAAATAAGGCTTTTACGTGCTGGAGCTGTTTCTGGACTTCTTCAAACCCCCGTTCTCGCTCGAGTTTGCTGACAATCTGTTAACAATTAGCAAAAAAGAGAATAATTTTTTTAATGCTTACTTGACTTGCTGTTTTTAAAAGCCTGCTTTTCTGCATTCTAACAGCTACTGACAGAAGAATCCATCTGAATGCCTGCCTATGTGTAAACATTCGTTTCTGACTTTAACACTTTATTTTGGTAGTTTTCCTTTCAAGTCACTCTGATTACAGGATTTGCAACACTTCCACAAAAGAACGACAGAGCCAAGCGAAAAAACCAAAACAAATCCAACACATGCTTATCTCCCAAAGTGTGAGGCAAGGCCAGTGCTCCAGTTTTACCCTAGAGAAATTTGCAAATGATATTTTATTTCTCTTCCTCTGCCCTATAAACTGAGTGTAATAAACTGCCTCTCTTCCTCTAACCCACCCACTTGGCCCTGGCCCAGGTGATAGGAAGGAGCACTACTGCTGTCTGGAAACTGCTCGCAACTCTACACAGGGACTGAGGTCCCAGCAAACAATGAAGGAGGTTTAGGTCAAAAGCCAGAGGGGGAAAGGCAGAAGGAGGATTTCCTTCTAAGGGTCAGTTTAGCCAGTACTAGCTTCAATAAGGCAAAAATGGGCACTAAGACTACAAAGCACACTGAATTCTCCTGTATCAACAATTTAAATTAGCTTAATAAAGTGTGACGCCATTCTGAGTATCAGCCCAAGCTTCTTTTAAGAGGCAAAGATGCTGAACCCAGATAGCTTGAGATGTTAGAGATCAGAAGTGGTAAGCTAGCTAACAGGTGACTGAGAGCTGGATGATTACAGCAAGTGCTGATGCTGTGCTGCTGGGGATGAGAGAGAGAAAGGCCTGGTTGCTGGGAGACCCAGACAACCTGCTGGAAGCGGGAAGGAGGCCTGCAGGCAACACGCCCCAGCTGGCTCTTATCTGAGTCCCTGCACAGGCACATGAAGCCTCTGTTAAGGATGCTGAGCAAAATGGAGTGGAGAATCCTATCATGCAAAGCGAAGGGCAGCGATTTTCTTAGAAAGCAGCTTAAAGGTAGCCTGCGACTTAGTGCTTTCGGCTGAAAAAGATTTCTTTTGTTAGTAATGGCAGGGACTGGAAGCTATAGCTTCTTCCCTTTAAGAGAAAGGCTATTAGAGCAGAGCATTAAGAGGGCTATGATGTGAGAGGAGCAGACACCTCTTGCTGTAAGGCTGAGTGTGCTCTGCTGAGGTGTTTGTAGTGACTGTTAAATTGAGATCCCTGGTGCTACAGTCTACTCTGATTTCTGAATCTCCAGGGAAATGGAGCGCGTGCACAGGAGTTGTGACAGGCATTTGCAGAGACTCTGCAAACACAGTAAAACAAGAAGCCCAGACTATATAGGAACTTCCTCAAAACTGCAGGGAGAATTTTATTGCTACTGTCTCTGTGAAACAGAGCAGTGGTGGTAGAGGTGCATTTACACACCTCTGGCCTGCGACCCCCTCGAGGGGAGGGGGCTGCACTGCTCCTGCTCCACACGGCTCAGTGGGGGGAGCAGCTGTGGCTGCATTATGGAGGGGCTCTCTGGAGTGGCCCCAGTAGGTCACACATCAGGCCAGCACTTGGTTACTTAGTCAAGCCACACGTTCAAGCCTGAGGTGACAAGTTACTGTTAAAGGGTTAAGCAGGAATAGCAGAGGTGCTTACCTCATCATAGTATTTCACTATGTATTTGTAGATTTCAATCAAGGCCACTTTCTCATTAAATTCATTTTCATGTTTCTAAAACAGAAAACAGACCCAGTCAGGTAATTCTCCTTTTTAAAATATCTTTCCACGAAAGCAAATGAAGTTGCTGCTTCTCAACCATACCTTAGATTCCTGAGTTAGAAATTCTTCAACCTCTGCAGTGGTCAGTGGAGGCAGATCCCTGATGGCTTTGTAGTATGCTTTCACCTCCTTCTTGTAGAGTGGAATGTCCTTAGCGTAGAGAAGTTTATTTGTTGGTGCTTCCTTAAAAGAAAAAATTTGAAGCCTTGTCACTTTTCACAGCACAGATTTCCTAAAGTTCCACCTCCACACAGTTAATTGCATCTAATTGTGTCTGTGTGACTCATTTTTCTTCACGGTGGTTATATCCAAGGAACCAAGATTATGAAACAAAAATGAAAAACAGGCGTAGGACCCCAGTAATAGTGTATTTTATTTCATGACAGTTGCCATATAATTATTTTTATTGGCATCAGGAGTGGTGACCATTTGTCCCTCAGACATGTTTTTCTTTCTCACTTCCTCCTTATGGCTCTCTAGACCTGAGAGACTGTGAAAGCTGCACCACAGGGCCCGAGGCCGATGCCCTGTTTACATACAGGATTCAGCAGTACTGCTGAAAAACAAAGCAGGATTTTTTTTTCCACTCCAGGACTTCAATAACCCAGGTCAGCACTGACCTACCCGGCGGCTTTAGGCTCATTCAAGGAAGTAAGTGCTGATGTTTGTGGAGCCAAAGCCTCACCTGGAAAACACGTTTTCAGAATGTAAAAGTGGGGGGTGGTAGTTTCCTGTCACTGCTCTCGTTTAAATTCTGGGGAATAAATGACACAGCCATGTGATATCTTGTGACTACTGTTTCCACTGTGTGATGAAATGATTTACATGTTTGTTTTCTAAATGGCTAAAGGATGGTTTAAGATAAAAGGCTAAAAATCCTGAAAGTAAATACATTTCAGTACTAAAAGGCCACAAGTTGTTTACTGCATTGCAAACCTTTATCAGGTTTCACCATCACTTTTCAAGTGGCTAATGGGAGCTGTTACATCAACAGTACTTCACAATGTATGTTAAGCACAGAAACATAACAACCATGCTCATTTGCAGTTTTTCCGTCAAGGAAGTGATGTGATTAGTTTTAATGTATGATACTTCACTCCTAAAACAAGATAAATAAGCACATTATTTGCTATTTACCTTTAACAGATGAATAGTTGGATAAGATCACATAGGAAATTAGCCCATTTTTATAAAAAATATTTTAGGCTCAGAAAGTCTCTAATCTGTTTTTCTTGGTAGTATGAGCCTGAACAAATGCTTCCTGCTTTGGTCCAAAGAAAAGGAAAATAGCCTGGGGAAAAATGACGTATTTCTGATCCCTGGAGTTCCAGACACTGTACTAAAGAGTTTTTGAGTGCAAGATTTCTGGACTTGCTCCTCCAGCAAATAATTGTGCATATAAAAACTAACGCATGTGAAAGAAACTGTTTCAAACTTTAGAGCTCTTTCAAGTATTCTTACAGCTTCCAGTAGCTTACTGTGTGTGTTTTCCGCACATTGATGTTTGGCAGACAAAATTTGGACTATTTATCAAATTATCAAATAATGTTAACACGTTTAAGACCTTTGTTTAAAAATTCTTTAAAAATGTATTAAAATCTTACAATTTCCACCCTCTTCCTCATATTCTATAAACACACTGTGCAGAAATGAACTGCAGAGAAGACAAGCAGCAGTTAACTATATATATGGTGTTCCTGTAGATGTATCTGTAGGTGTATCTGTATTCTTCAAAGTCTCAGGAGACTGGACAACAAGGCATAGAAACTCAACTTAATCAGGCCACTGAGAGTTTTGCCTTCAATGGCAGCAGATCCAGGACTTCACCATCTAAATCATTTTACAGTTGCAAAAGACAGTGGTTGAGAAGTTAGAAGAAGACTAACTTCTTCTAACTTCTCCCTTCTTCTAAGGGAGAGCAGCATTACCTTCCCCAGTGTCTGTTCTGCTAGAGAAAAGGCATCCATGAAAGCTTGTGCGATTACAGACAAACAACCATCTATATGTGAAGTCTTCTTAATATCAAAGACAAATTGGGGATTCTTCAGGATGTTCACCCAGAAGCGAAGAGGAAGACTAGACAGAGAAAAGAACAGCATCTTTAAAATTAACTGCTCAGCTAGCACAACTGCTTGAAAACAGTACTTTAATTGCACTGCACTCAGGGAAAAAGCACATCTCTGGGCTGCTTATTCATGTTCAAAAAGGGGTCAGGGAACACAGGCTATGGAGCTAACACATCAGTCAGGCACCCATCTTCAAATAATGCTCCCAGCATGTGGCTACTTCTTTCTGAGTGTGAAGCTGGTATGTGGACTCACAGCCCTGGTTTGTTTGTGTTGGTATCAAAGCAACACCACAAAGCCAAACCACATCTTACACCCACATACCAAAGTCTTATTCTTCTGACCACAGGTGACCCACTCCATCTTGGCAGCTACATTTTCAGAAAGTACCCAGGCCTCTGCACATATCCATGGGCATACCTGTTGGTCTTCCATATGTGGACCACGTCGGGGTCAGTAATTTTTTTGCTCTCCGCCTGGGCATCCAGAAAGTCAAAAAAGTACTTGATGGCAACAGGTGCTTTATTGTTGGGTAAACTCCAAATGCTCCTGAAGAGCTTTTCAACAACTGAATGAATTGCAACCTGAAAAGTAACAAAAAGAATATTTTATTATTATAACACAAGAAAATAACAGGATATTTTATCTCAGAGGGCTGAGCATACCCCAAAACAACCACACACAGAAACTATAATATGCTTGCGGCAAATACCAAGGCCATACGTTACCAGCAAACAAGAGAGTCAGTAACAAAAATGAAACCACAATACACCACAAGGAGCTGCTTTCAAATGTCACACATCTTATCACTCTGCCGACAGGAGAACTGTGGTGAACTCTGTGATAAATCATAGGTGGAAGGAATCACTTGGTCCAGCAAAGACAACATGAACTCCTGGGATACTGTTAGCACTTTTGCTAAAGGCATTTGGAACTTGTGACTGGAAATAAGAGGGAGGTGAGGAAAAGCAGTTTAACCACTCTCCTAGGGCACTGGTCTTCACAGTGCCATCTGTGACACATGCTGAACACATGTGCTCATCAACACTTCACAGCCGAGCGGCTTTGCCACTTGGTCTAATTCTAGGATAACAGCTTTGGGTGGTATGTGAAGACACTAATATTAGAAAGAACTGAGAACTGGGTATTTCTGATACAGAAGTGAAGCTATTTGGCTCACAAAAGCAAGGGCTTGGTTGCTGATGGACTCACTGACATTGCAGAGCATTCACAAGTAGAGGCAAACAAAGCAAAACACTGTTCTGTGCTGTTTTTATTCACATCTGTTCTGAAGCTCAGTTCAGCCCAATATTCTCTGAACAAGGAGGATTTAAGCATATTCCATGGCCTTGATACACTACTGGCCAGTTCATTTCACATGGTAAACTCTGCAGTTGTGTCTGTGTGCTTGTATGGGTGAGAGGGAGAGGGATGCAATGCAATTTCCTTTAGTGCGCAGTGTATCGTGGGGGGAATGTCACAGCACTGTTGTTCAGAGCAGTGTCCTACTTTGGAGAAGGAGATGATTAATTTAAAGCCCTTTAGAAGGACTGTTTCTTAAGGGCCTGATCTTTTCTTCTGTACTTCAGCAATTCCTGAGAGCTCATGTTAGTTTTCACAGCTAATGAGAAATGACCAGTCTTCTTTCTCACTTTGGGTAGTGTCCCAAATTACTTCAGATGCTATCCACAACCTAATTAAATAATGATTGATTGATAGATTTTTAAATGCAAGAAGGCTATAATTGCCATCCCTTCAGGCCTCTTGTATTGCACAGCTCTCAGTGTTGTGCACTGATTAGTATTTTAAGTAATATGCTGTTGCAAAGAGTTTTAGAACCTTTTTGAGTAAGTCAGAAACAAGATGACGTTACTGGAGGGAGTAAAGCAGGGCTTATTCTTCAGGAATGCACATCGTATAAATTAGGTAATTGTATTATAAATCCTAAAGGCCTTCCTTTTAAAACTAATCTAGTTATTTTGGATGCCTAATTTGAGACCCTAACAGATTATTTCATTTTGTGGGCAGTATTTTGTGCCACTCAGACTTCAGAAGTTCTCTCTAAGCTGGGCAAACTCTAGAGGAGAGTGGGGAGATTGTTGACTCAAGCCTGTGTCTCCAGGGGATCATTCTCACTCTGTGGGACTCAGTGGTAAAATTCACTTTCCATAAGCACAATAACTACCTTTATCCTTCAACCTGAGAAAAAAGGTTGTGCTTACTGAGGAGACAGAGAGCGCAAGTAATAGACAATTTTAGAACTCTATCATCAGAAAACCTGAAATATGTCTTTGCAAATGGTCATAATCCATAGTTAGCACAGTGATCTTTATATGCTACCTTGTCATTTAACATTTGATACACATGCAGGAAGTCTGCACAATCTCTGCTTTAATTTGTATTTGTGTTCTGCCAAACTAGCGAAGCCAAACATCAGCCCTCCCCCAAAATAAAGCCTCTACTGTTTACCTTGGTTGACAGAAGCTTTGTGAGATACATTTCTTTCACTTTGAATTTTTGCTTTCCTTTGTGACCTGCTCCCTTCACATCTTTGTTTGCTTCCGAGTCTGGTAAAATCTGTCATGAAGAGATTAGAGAGATTACACAGATACAAATACAGCTTAGTATTAAATCTACCACTTAGCAGTATAATGACTGAACTCACCAAATGACAGTGTTCATCTGAGTAGTCCACATCTAAAGAACAGAAAGCAAACAGGCATTAATGAAACACACAGCCACAAGCTTGTGAGTTCTGCTGGGCTCTGGGCAGGGTGTGTGCCAGGATGCTAAGCAAGCAGGCATCATCCTTTCCTGCCTGCAGTGTGGGAGAAGCCTCTGAGAAAAGCTTAGGTCCTATGCACTTCCCCGGTGCCAACCTGTAGCTTGGACCACTGCAAGCTAGGGCATCATCATCTGCTGCTGGGGTAAGCTGGCAGCAATCATAGCTCCTCTGAAAGGAGGACAACAGAGAGCAAATGCGATGATTTGCATTGGTTTGATCTCTAAGAGTGCTCAGTGCAGGTGAGTTGAGGTCAGGCTTGAACACAATGGCTGAGAACAGACAATCCTGTTCTTGCTGAGGGAGAGAACAATGCCATCACAGGGAGATGCATACGCCCCTCCTAACTTTGATGGTGAGGTAAAACATGTTAGGAGTGAGTTTCTTCCCGGGGGTTACAGAAAGTTCTCCTTTCCTGAGCCACTAGCTGGGTGAGAGCAACCTGTCTCACAGGGGTAGGTGAGATGAACTGACCCACTGCAAACACCCTTTAACTCCTGATATGCTGTAGAGACAGCAAAGCCAAAGCTTTCAGAAACACAGTCAAGACAATAAGGAAAATTAGCGAACAGTGGGGTTTTTGTTATGCCTGTTGCTGGATAGTGCACCACTATGTCTGTGATGCACAGTTCTGGGCACAAGAGAGAGGCACGTTCCTTGTGTTGGTTTCAACAGTCAGCACTTTGTGTCACCCAGGCTTCCCTGTCTCACTTTCCTGCCTATGAGTCTGTTTCTCTAAGTATCTATAGAATCTGCTGAGGACTGTAAGTCCTTCTTCTTTCCTTTGCCTCCTTTCCTACTTCTAGGCCCACTGCACCTGCCAGATGCACAGAGCAAGGGTAACATGGCTCTTCTTGTGGCTCAACTATATCAAAGTACCTATTTTTCCACCCTCCTGTTGACCAAGATACAACCTGTCACAGCTCAGCTCTCTGCATTCCTAGCCATTCTCCACAAAAGCTTAAATAGTTTGCAGTTCCTTTTTACCTGATCGGATATTTGCCTTCTTTTTAAAGACTTTAATGGTTGCTCCATTTGAAATCTGAAAACAAAAACAAACACATCATGCTGAAACAAAAGTTTCTAGAATTCACAAAACCCTGTTTCATTTCCCCTGTCCTTCAGTCCCCGGCAGCACAGGAGCGTTCCTGCCTCCTTGGTTTTCACCACGGTGTGTACAGCTTTCAGCACACAGCCAGGACTGGGCTTGCAGCAGGGGCAGTAGCTGCAGTTTGTCAGCCTTACCAGCAAGCTGGGAAGACACCTATTCTTGCAATGAACCAGCCTTGAAGACCTTTTCTGTTCTTTGATTTTTCTGGATCAGACCATATTCAAACATTTTCCTTTTCATGTCCTGCTTTGTGCTGCGTCTTCCACCCATCTTCCTACAGATGACTCAGGTTAAATTCTCTGCCTCCAGTGCAATAGGATCTTATGGGAAGGTGAGACAGGGAGGTGCACACAAGGATGGACCCCTTTCTTTCAGCTCAGTCCGTTCCCCCCATGTCCTATGGAGGGTCCATGTTGAGGGTCTAGCCTGGTGCTCCCAAGAACTATTTTCAAACTAAGCAAAATATTTGCACACCATAAGATCAAGATTGTATCCAGCCACCTTGGGATTTCTAGGAAAAATCTACCCTCTCCTTCCCTGAATTTATAGTGCTGCCAGGATGGTAAGTATTATCTTTAAAACAAACTGGCAAGTCTTGCTTTTATTGTCAAAGAGTAACTAAAAAACTGTTCCCACTGAGAACTACACCACTGCTCTGCTGTCAAATGTTGAGTCTTGCCAAGTGCTAGTGTAGTTGCCTCTATAATTACAAAAACAACTGGCCAGTTCTAGGAAGGGATCCCTGCCAAAATAATTGAAGTGTTTTTTAAACCTTGGCAGCCAGCCTGGTGTGAGAAACCAGTTTTAACATTAAGATACTCTATCAAAAGCTGTGTCTTGTGCCAAAAAAATCTGCACTTACATTTGCTCCTGGAAAGTAAATGCAATCTATTTTATAAGTATGATTTTTTTGCAGGGATTCCATTTATCATACAGCATTTCAGAATTCTTTCAGATAACACAAAGCACTTTAAAACCACACTACAAGTGGGAATTTACAGAGTCCTCCTACTTGGCACTGGAGATGGGTAAACAGGCACAAAGATACCCAGCAGCTTACCCCCTCCCAGAGAGGCGTGGGCAGTATGCTGCCTCCATTCCCTCTCCAAGAAGTAGGAGAGCAGCTCAGTGCTGAAGTGAGCTGGCTTCTGTCCTGAGGGAAATGGGCAGAGCTCAGAGGGAGAAGCATGCTCCTCTCCAACAACCAGTGGTGTTGCTGCAGTGCAGCCATGACCAAAGCTCCAACTTTAGGTTTTATTTTGGGGACAAATGATGCTTTTAGCACTGACTGGACTGTGCTTTCCCTTCTGTATCATTACTGCAGCAGCCATAGTCCCTGCTTCTTTCAGTGTGATCCAATTTTTAAAAAAAAGCCCAAAGAAAAAAAACACCCTTCTTTTTGTGTCCTGCTGTCTAAATCACTTTTCATGGTGGGCTGCTCCCATGGACACCTCCAAACATCTTTGCTTTGTCAGGTGCTTTACTGAGGGGGACAAACAGGGAGAGGGGAGATCTCTTCACATACACACAACTTGGAGTACAGTTACTTTGCCAAACAGAATATGTAGTAGTGTGGCTCTATGCCTCTTCCTTGTTCTTCAGGCCTCCTGTCCTCTTGCCAGTGAGCTCCCTGTATGACACATTCAGATTGGCTCTCTGGGGCTCTACCTGCTCCTGAAACATGTGATGCTGCTACAGGTTGAGAAATTTGAGATCTGTGAGTGGACAGCAGATCTGAAAGTGATTGTCTAGCACTCTTTTTGTGTGGAGAATAAGATGTTGAGATAATCAGCAACTTTCTTGTCATGGCTTGTGGTTATTCTCATGCACAATAGTGCAGACCTCATAAATAATCACATCAATAACTCTACTAGGAGCCAAAAAATAGGGCAAAAGGAGCACACAGGTCAGAGAGATGTGAAAGTCTAATAGTACAGTGGATCTTTTTCTCTTCACAAACATCATATAAAAATGCATACATCCCCTTCTTGCATATTTTAAAAGTAAGTGTAGAAACTATGTCTGCTTTTTCAGGAATGACTGGTGACTCTGGGACCTTCTCAACACAGCACTCATGCTCCAGTATCTTAAAAAGATTTGACAGTACTTCCCAGTTTTAAATATCTGGTTGCTTTTTAAGGCTAGAAAACAAAAAGTAAAATTCAGGCTTGCCACAAAACTCCAGGCACCGTTGAAATGTAAGCTGAAATTTCTCAGACAATGTTACTGCCATCACACTGTGCATGCAATGTTCCTGTTTCTTGCTAACTAGATACCTTTACGTTCCTTTTTGCATCAATATGCATCCAAGAAAATAAATTAGATATGCTAATGGCTAATACTTGCCACTAAGCCACTACCTAAAATGCCACTGAGCTTCTGTCTAAAACGTGCATTCCTTTGTCAGTGTCGGAAACAGTGAACTAGAATATCTGTCAGAGATACCCAGCACAATTTCCATAAGGCAGCTGCAAAGCTATTATTAGTCTAGTTACAGCTTTGCAAAAACAACTGAGCTTCCAGCCTAACTTGCATCTGCCTGCAGAAACCTCAGACAAAAACAAGGGCTGGGACAAAGATACCCAGGGATGACAGTGACCAACGGAGCAGACTCGTTTGCCACGAGGTATGGCACCTATGAGCCACAGGAGCTCAGGAAGTGCAAAGGCTGCTGGGTACAATCAGGGAACACTTGCAATAGCTGCCTCTGGTAAAAAGAACAGTTCCTGTCACATGAGACAGAAGTTTAGACATCTAATCAGATTCAAACCTACGCTGACCTTTGCTGAATAGACTCAAACTGCAACACTACAATGTCCTAATTTGTACAAGATCTTTACAAGTGGCATGGAGTGGAGGAGGTCATATGTCAATCTATTGCCAAGGTTCAAGACAACCACGAGAAAAGCTGTATTTAAGCCACTGGATGGTGACTCAGGACATCTGGGTTCACTGCTGCCTCCCAGGGAGGTAAGGAGAGCAACAGACACCTACAGAAATCTGTAAAGCAACTCCAAATGAGTTTGCTTCAGATCTAAATAGCCTTGTGCTCTGTCTAGGCTACAAAGTCCTGCTAGGAGTAATTGTTTCTCTGTGGATGGCACTGTATTTGCTAATGCAGAGAGCAACATGTTCCAGGCTGGCTCAGGTTCCTCCGCACCATACTGCATTGCATGGCACAGACCGACATCAGCGAAACTGCTAAATAAATAAAAACTGGTTATCATGTTAAGAGCCAGACCTTCACATTCAACAATGAGGCACAAGGAAAGCTCTCTAAAAGCACTCAGCATGCTAACCTCATTTCCAAAATCTATCTGTAAGCATCAAAATGTGAACTTCCATATCACCTGAGGCCCAGCCATCTGTTGCACATTCTACCCCAGCCTCTCACACTCTATTTTGACTGGTGTCACTGGAAACGTCTTAGAGAGGCAATGCTACTTGCGTGTTTTCACCAGCTGCAGCCTTGTGTGTTGTTGCAATGATGGACAGATTATTGCAGCATTGAAAATGATTGTTTTCCAGATACAATTGGAAGCAGAGAGGAAAACTTACAGTACAATTGGCAACAGCAGAAAGAAACAGAAAAAGAGGGAAGAAGACTAAGGAGATAAAGAAAAGAAAGAGTAACTCATCAGTCCTTTTTATTCTGATTCTCAATGAGATTTCACAAGTATCACTACTGCCTGTTCAGATAATCAAAATATGAGGTGGCATAAAGTAAATAATTGCTCATGGTGCAATAAAAACTCAACAACAGAGACTCAGAAAGACTCGAGACATGTTCATAGCTGGAAATCAGATGCTGTTTTAAGTGAAATGCTCAACAGAATTAATAGTTTACCTGGAACAATTGAACCAAGCAACCCTGCAACAAGCACACCTTTGAAAAGCAACAGAAAACATGACTCATTGGCAAGAACGTTGTGTCACACAATTCTTTCTTTCTGTTGGTGATGCTATCTCTTCAAGATTTTGATCAATCAAGATTAATATGTGTAGATTACATTTGAGAAGTGTGGAAAAACTGCTCCTCAACTCATTGGTATGGCTTCTGTGCTTACCTCGTAATGACCGACGGTATTTAGCTTCCTTATCCCATCCTCCATCACCTCTGAGGAACCATCAATATCTAACAATTCTCTTTGCTGCTCCTCAGACACAAGTTCTGCAGGATGACAACAACAGAAAAGAATTACATCCTGATGACATTCTCATTGTACAGATGTTTCTAAAGAAAAACAACACCTAATTGTTTTTGGACCAGTGGCTCCAAATTGAACTGTTTCTCCCTGTCCTTGTGCTAAGCAACATGAAAGTGGTTTTTCACTCCCACACTACTGATTCCTTTTCTGGGGTGACAGCCTGGGTGGCTTCCGTTACTGCAGGCTATTGGTGCTTCATTTTGTGCTAGTCAAGGCTGAGATTTTGAAGGTGCTTTAGCCTGATCTAGCTATTCCATTGCACAAACATGACCTGATGTTACGGCTACACTGGGACTAGAAGAAAGCTTCCACAAGCCACTTCTAAGAGACCATTAAAATGAGCTGTACAAGACTGACATAGTACTTCTGAAGGGTGGTCAGGCACTGGCGGTGGACATAGACATCAGATACAAAAGTAAATTATGAACACTTGCCAATAAAGAGTCTGAGAAGGTGAGGAAATATCAACCAGGGCACATGGGAAGTGGTAAGGTGGCAAGTATAGACTTTCATCTGAGCTTGGGCTTTGAAAACACAACAAGGAAAGGTCATTTGACTCATCTGCTGTAACGGCCTTATTTACTTCTGTAGATATTGTGGGTAACTTTGTGAGTCACATGCAAACTATTACATAAACCCAAACTGGCTATAAATAAACTATATTTGAAGGTTCTCCTGATCAAGGGAAATGTAGGCCTGTAGGAAGGAAGGAAGGGAGGTAGGAGGGATAGTAGATAGGGACTAAATTACTTGGTAATCACGACAAAATTTAACAACCAGCTGTACTTAGGTGGGTGGGCCAACCACCTTACTTAACCCAGGAAAGGAATATAGAAATGATATGTGTTTAATAAATAACATGTATTTGTTAACTGCAGTGTTGAAACCCTTGCAGGAGTGAAGCAGATATAGTTCTAATGTTCTAACTGATAGTATAAATGATCTACTTCTCACCTCAAAATTCCTCACAAAAGCTACTCAACTCTTAGAAAAAAAATCAAAGCCGAAGGTAGGAATTTCTAACAAGAAAACTCCACAGACAGACCAGTGAACTCCATGAAAATATAACACAGTGACATTCTCTTACCAAGCCCAATTTCATCCAGCTGAAGACCATAGAGAAACCCATTCTTATTAAAGAAAGCCTGAAGGCTCTTCTCCTTGGCTTGGCCTATGGTATCACAGTCCAGAACATTCACTTGGATAGTTTGACAGGCATCTCCACTCTCATTTTCTGGGATTTTTTCAAAGATAATGTTCACTGTCTGAGGAAAGAAACATGTTATTCTGACTTACAGGGAACACCTGGCGTGAGAAACCTACAAACTCCTGACAGATTTTCACCACCTGAGAGATTTTTAGCATATTTTTTATTACATTTATTTCAAATAAAGATTATTTGAAGGAATTACATAATTAAGCATTTAGAATTCATCACGTTCAAAAAATCAAAAATATATATAGCTATACATTTCCAAAACTGAATTTTGTGTTCTCCTTTTGTGCAAAAGTATTTCAGGGAATTACCTAAATGAGACAGGAGATGAGGAAAATTACACTGTATGTTGTAAAAAAAGCAGATCTTTTACATGAAATGAATGCCTTAACAGCAAATCTGCAAGCGACAAGAGATCTGATAAGGCTGCTGAGTAAGTCACCATGGTAAGCATGATTGATTTTGAGTGGATAGGAAGCAGTGTTAAAATGCATATTTACACCACAAGATTATGCTGAGTGCTTTATATCACACAAAAAAATACACCTCCCCTGGAGATGTCAGTGGCTGTCTGCATACAGCCATGTCTCTGGAGGCAGCACAGACAGGGCAGCTGCAGAAGCAGTGGAAGGAGAAAGTATGTTGCAGCAGGCATAATCCAAAGTGGTCCAGAAACACAGAAAAGTGTGTTGTATTCTATTAGTTATCACTTCAGGCCGAACACTCACACAACCTGCCCAGTTACAGCACCTCTGCCCTTTAGCTCACAGCTGCTCTTAGCTGGGACATAACTCATCTGCTGGGCTGCACACTGGCTGAATATGGGCTAGAGGGAGGTGCCAGTGAGACTGGATGACCATCTCCAGGGAATATTTCTGATCAGGTCAGACAGATTAACTGCTAGAAGGCAGGGAAAAAAGGATGACCACAGAATTGCTCGTACCAAGCAATAACAGCAATAATTTCCAGTACCACACCCTACTTGCAACAAAATCACTGTTCAGCTCCACAGATACAGATGTTCTGCTGGAGATGTCTTGGGACAGAATTAAAACCAGTGTTCTAGGTGCTGGCACTTGACTGCAAGTGGCATAGGAAAATAAACGTACTCAAACCACTCTGGCTGTTGGATATCTCTGGTATAATACATATCTTTTGGCTGAAATGAGAGGACCGCAGGTGTGACTCAGTGAAGGAGTGATCATTCAAACAGGAAGCAAGTACAACTTTTTTCTTCTCTGCTGTCATGTGAAGGAAAGGACTCCTGAACAGGTTGTAGCAGGGACAACTTTTCTCTCTTCTTAGAAATGTGGATAGCTATTAATAGTTGTCAAGTGGTATTTCCTGCTTATTACCCAGCAAGAGTGGAAATTACAACACTGGTGATGAAAAAAAGTAGTCCAGTGTGACATAAATTAACTTTACTATTTCTACAGAAGCAAAAGAATATTAAAAACAAGGCTGCAAAACTATGAAGATCAGGATTTAAGAAAGACTAGGATGTAAATGAAGTACGAGAGAATAACTTAATCAAGACACCAAGATGTTTAATTGTGAGGAAAATGAGCCCACAGAAAGGACAGACGGAATGGACGAGGAGGATATGTGGGAATGGTGTCTGCAGAAGGAGAAGCAGACTGGACACCATGCCTCAGGTTGGGATTTCATGCGGAAAATTAGTAAAAAATATATTGGCACGGGAATGAGGGAGTCATGCTTGGTTAGGCCCACAGACCAACAGAACAGACAGCAGTCCTGCCCTTTACTTTGATTGCCCTGAGGTCATGGTCTTGTAGGATAAAAATATGGACAGGGACTAACTGTATTTTGTCCTTGGATAACTGATTTTAATCAGTCTTTGCCTCTTCTAGTCATCGAACTGATCTTTCTGGAGTAGCTCCTGGCACTTTAACTGGTGTTTATTTGGCTCTACATCCTTGGAAGCATTCCTTTCTTTAGTTGATCCTTTCCTCCTAACATTATTCCTACACTGCAATATTCATGTTCTTGCTTCTCCTTCATTTTCTTTTCCTTTCAGTCTGTCAAGAGAAACTGTCTATTTATCTGCTGCATTTCCTTTCCAGCACATGCTCTTGCACAGGTTGCACACGAATGCGTCGCCTCCTCAGTTATTAGCATGCCAGAGTCCTCCCATCCCCACTCAACTCATTGTAGGATGACAGGACTGTAAAAAGAGAGTAGTGATCCTTTGTGTAGGTGGAATACAAGTCATTTATGGACTCCTTAAGTGAAAGTATCCACACAGTGCGAGGATAATAAGAACACTTTACAACTCAAAGGAGTGGTGAGATGGGAAGGAATATTTAAACGCATAAAAGTCTCTAAAACACGAGAGCCAGACAGTTTTGCTGATATGATTTCCTGCAGAAGTTAATCTTAAGCGATGAAGCAATTGATGGGGAGCTAGGAAAGCCAATTATTATTAAGTCGTAGCTGAAGTTTTCATAAATCAGATTCAACCTGTCTGACAGCACAATCCCTGGCTTTAGAAAGCATTAATCAGAAGTTGACAGCCACAATCACTGCATTTAGACACAGAGTGTAGAACTAGAAAAAGATTCAGAAATTACTGTAAAATAATGATCAGCTCTGAAGGTCAGAAAATATATGAGAAATCACAGGATACACGGAAATCACAAAAAAATGTCATCAGGCCCCTTTGTAAGCTCTCTCACTTTGCAAGGGAAACAAAAATATGAAAGAGTCGGGAGAAAATTGCAGGACATGTGGTTCAACCTAGTAATATCTAGAGATGAGACTTCGTGCACTAGAAACTAGTGACAAAGTCACAGTGCACTTCGGAAAAGCTTTAACCTGGGTTGCAAGAATTGTTAAAGGCTACTTAAGGTGAAGGTGGCAAGCACTGGCATCTACTTGTATAGGAACTAGCTTGGAACCTAGGTACAAGACAGGAACAAATTTGTAAAAAATATTTTCCCTCATGCAGTGACAGAAATGACATCTGAAGACAGTGCTTACAGATGGCTTTTCAGATGTGCAGTTTTCTTGAAAATTAATTTCACACAATGAATTACTTAATAAAGCTATTAATAAGTACAACAGATAATAAGTGAGATGTGGTTTAATAATGAAATGTGATAGTATCATGTTTTCTTAGAAATAAAGAACAATAATCTGGGATATTCAAGGCCTCTCATCTCACCCTGTTCTCTATTCAGCTATGTATCTGAACAAAGCATATTTCCATTTATCAGACAGACTGACAAAAACCAAGAAAAATTTTTGATGGGTAAAAGTTAGACTATTTATGTAAAGAGTCAGCACTGTGATGTACAGCACAACAAAACTGCCTTAGAACTACTCCCCTGTCTCCCAGACTGTGACATACAGTAAACAGGGAAAATCAGATTGATCGCGTGATCCTTCTGCAGCAGTGAGAACTGTTACCCATGAAGAGGTTATAGAACATTTAACCAACTGGCACAGAAAATGTTACAGGAGTCAGATTTAGACTAGATGGGAAGGGTTGTGCTGATGATGTGCTACAGTATATGTCATTCAATCTGTATCTAGTTCAGAAGACTCTCCTGTAGCAAACATCTGCATTGCTCACTTCCTAGTGAGGGCTGTTTTGTCTTTTTCTGCTGAAAATCACCATATGTCACATGCTTTTAATAGCTTCCTTATCTCTCATGTAGTGTGACTAATAATACCACAACCATGGTGCCTTATTAGGAAATTGCTTTACTCCCTTACAGCCCTCTCACTTCTTTTAACACCCTTCTTTTAACTCATAAAGCAGTTGAACACTTTAAACAACCATCCACCATGTGGCTTTGCTTTGCTTTTAATAAAAGTCTGTTGGCCGATTAGGTGAATTAGGTAATTTCTTCCCACCTGAATATGCAAACTCATTTCAGTAAAGAATGTAACACCCCAAATGCCTTTTTAAAAATAAGCAGTGACTATTCAAAAGAATGCCAGAGCACCAAGTCTACCACATGAAGAAAACTCCCCTGGTTTTCCACAGGAGATAGACCACCGAGAACTTGTCCCATGCCAGGCTGGCATTGTGCAGCTTTTCTATTCAAAATGAAACACTTCAGTGAAATGCTAACACTCAGCTGTGCAGTGTGCTTCTTCATCAGTCATTGAGCAAATTATCTGCCGAGGGATGCAGCTGCTTGCCTCAGCACGCTTACTTCCTCAGCTGAGAAAAGGCTCCATGACACATCCAAGTCTCTTTCAAGGCAGTTTTATTTCTCAGTACTTAAATATAAGCACAGCGTGAAACTGCACAGCTCCTCAGCTCTCACTGGACCAGTGCTTTTAGAAGCAACTTCTCTTCAATTCCTGCACTTGAGTATATACTTCAGCAGCTCATCTCTGTTCAGTATATCACCCTTTTCAGCAGAGAGGGGTTTGGGTGGTCCCAAGGTCTGTGGCCTCTTTAAAAAAGGCATGGGGCCCTGCCAAGGAACAACTCCAATACAATTCAAAATCAACATATTTCTTAATTCTCATTTTTTTCTACCTACAAATGGCCTGAATGTAAAAAAAAAAAAATTTCGCCTGTTGTTCCTGCTTTCTCTATGCCTAGTTCTTTCTCCTTCTCCTGCTCAAAGGGTTTATCTGAATAGTGGTGTGTTTAGGAGAAGACCTGTAAAGCTCCCCCTGACTCTTAGGAGCCTATCTGTATCCTGGGTTTATTGGTTTGGAACTGAACTCCCAATCCTGAAAGGAGAGATTCTCATGCAGAGCACCTACACCCTTGTTTGTGCCCTGTCACTGATTTGAGAATTAAACTCCCTACCAGATGTGTCCCTGCATCTTCAAGTGCCTACATAACTTAAAGCATCTGAACACTAAGTGTCTGCAGATGTGCTTCAGCATCTATCACCCTCTTTTTGGCTGTAATGTTATGCTTTGCTCTGGAGAGGTAGATTTTAACATACTGCTATTGTAGGGCTGGGGAAAGGGGCAAAGGAAAATACCAACAAAATACTGCAAGACTCAGAATGTAACTGCACTGAGCAAACATGCAAATGCATTTAAAAACTTAGATCAGAATTCATTCCACTTAGAAAACAGAACCTGCAATCCTTTAGGCAGAAATTTCTTCCACAGTAAGGAGAAAATACTTGGTTCCCTATCTCGTATGTTCACAGGTCCTGCATGTCATTGCAGGGTATGTGAAGTGGTGCCAGTGAGAGAAGAAAAGCTGACTACTTCCCCTTTAGCCTCCTGATAAATTCTATTCTTGTAGAGAAAATGTGCACAAAGCTGGCCTGCTTCCCCAGCCCAGAATGCCACAATGTTCCACCTAAGTCTCTTTCACAGCACAGTTCTAGCTTCCAGCATAAATCTTAGACAAAGCGGCACACAAAGCTGTTCCCTGTCCAGACTGAACTACAGACCTGAGACTTCACCTCTGCAATTCTACTGCAGGATCCGCTCTTCTTTTCTGACAGCTTTAAAGGGAACATTCAACCACTTCTCAGCTAAGTCCAATAAACTGCTGCACCTTAACAGGGAAAGCTGACTTATTAACCCTATAACAGTATCATTATCTTCTATCTAAAAGCAGGAATATGAAGTACAGAGGCAGCAAACAATGTCTGAGAAAAGCTATGTGCTCTCTCTCTTCCTCATCCATCTGCAGACAGCCTTCCCCACTGATTGCAAGTCCTTCAGACCACTTCCCCTCTCTCCTTTTCACTGCAGGCTGACCTCAAGACCCTATCAGTGACTGCAGGAGTAGAAGTAGCACTAGGGAAAGTACTTATAGCTGTTCAGAGTCATCTGTCCCTCCAAGGGGATATCAATTTGAATTTCTGCTATAAATAAGAAAAGTCAATCAGTTCCACAGGACCAGATGTTCTTGTACAATCTACTAGTAACAGGCATAATGAGCTTGCTTGAAAATTGTTGCTCTGAATCACTACTGGGCTTTGTAGCCTATGGCTCCATATAGCAATGTATTGAAACTTACTCTTGATCTCAAATGCACCACACAAACAAGATCTTGTACTAAATTATGCATTTAATTTATAGTCATGCACTGCTTTTCCAATTGTACACTGTGATAACTTAGCTTGAAGTACCTTCAAATGAAACTTCTAACAACAGCTTTGTTATAAGAAGATTTGACTATAACTTTATCAGTTTGAGAGCTTTCAGCAGAATACGACAATTCAGAAAGGATTCACAGAAAGGCTGACATTTCAATGAGTTTCCCATGTGACCCAGTGAGCTAAGTCCAATAGATTCCTGACCAACTAAGCTTTCCAGGGTCATGTAGTCTCCTCCAGTATATAGCATCTCAGGACCTACAGGCTCTTGCTGCAAAACAGAAGATGCGCAAGCTCTTCTGCAAAATAGAAGCTCCAGCCCTACCTGAGACTCGGGATAGGGGCTCTGAAAAGGACTGTGTTCTTCTCCAAAGCCACTTGCAGTGTCCCTGCCATGGCTGTTGCTGCCCTGGCAGTTTTTGCTCCCAAGGTCTGAAGCTCACTGTTCAGTTAGACTTCTCATACTCCTAGTTATTCCTGGTAACTCCAACAGGAAACCAAGGAGTTAAGAAAAAAGGAAGCTACAGAAATGACTGTAAATGCACATTTTTAAGGTCTCAGACCAAAAATCACCTAGAAATTCTGGAAGAAAAAAAGTGCTCTGGTTATTCTGAAAACCTTTTTCTGACCTCCTACTTATAGAGTCACAGTTTTTACATGCTCCGAAGTGCAATAATCCTGCCGTCCCTTCTCAACTCAGTGTCAGAATGACAAGTCAGAAGTAAGGGAACTCCAGCTTTCAAAGAAATCTGGGTGTAACTGTAAAATAGGAAGCACTTCTTAGTTGCTTTGAGAAAGGCAAAAAATCTATGGCAAAGTTCAGATACTAAGCTAGAGTTCCCAGATACCTTGTTTTTAACCAAGCAACAAAGTAAAATCCACCACACTGTAACCTTGCTAATTTGAAGCTAATTTTGAGCTAATAACATGCAAACCCACAGCAAATTATTGCTGCCTGGAGACTAGCCACAAGTAAACACAACAGGAAAATAAAACTCCTGTATTCCATTCTTTCATTCATTGGTAAAGTGTAATTTAGTTTAAATTCCAAGCATGTTTATATTACGTTTATTACTTTTGTAGTACACTTTACAATAAGTAGGATTTTTTGATACCCTGAGACTTCATTAAACCTAATCTTTGGCAACTAATGCATGCCACGAAGGAAGGAGTGAGTGCCATTTGTGAAATGTATATCAGTGAAATAATGACTAGTTAAACTCTACTGTGTTTTGAAACCTTGCCAGCAATAATAATTTTATTATCTGGGTACTTAACCATGACTTCAGTGTCTGAAACCCTTAGTTTAGCTTCCTAGAAATAGAGAAAACATTATAGTTGCTGTGTTTGGAGGGAATATGAGCTGGCAAACGTACCACTGTTTTGAATTCAGACACTTGCCACAGCAGCCAGTCTTCGTTAAGCGTGTACAGGGCTTTGCAAGTTATTGCATCAACAGGTCCTTTGTTTATCCTCTGATTAAGGGTTGTCACCAGCAAATAGAAAGGTTCACCAATTGTCTCCTAGGACACGAAACAAACACAAGAGACATGTTTATTTTTGCAATCATTAAATGAGCATGAATAACTAGAAAAAATCAAGTGTAACAAATGATGTTATTTCCTTTTAACTAACTCGTTATCTTGCAATTAGAAAAGAAAATCCCTCTGAGCAGATTTATCTAGTTATTTGTTTAACCTCCATCCTTTGCTTTTCAGTGTGAAAGTCTCATGCAAATAGCAAGAGACAGCTGGAGTGTGTGGAAAGATAGCTCACAGCCCCTTGCTGTGCACAAGCACACTACAGACAAGCTGCTCCTACTCCACCTGGCAGACACTTCTTAGTTCCACCAACGAGTGGGTGGGGGATGAGACATGCACGTGTTCACATGCATATTTCAGCTATTTCTTCCATTTTCAGTCTTGTGAGAAAAACAAGCTAACAGCAAGTTTCCTTTTAAATTGGTGTCTCCCTTTGTTGTCCCTGAAAAAAGTCTTGAGAGATCAGCAAAGAGGGAATGAAACCAGACCTTTCTTCTCCTGCCTAAACCACAGGGTTCAGGAAAGCATCTGAGAAAGGAAGGATGAATCTTTGTTTCCACATGACACCACTCCTGCAGCCTGGCTAAGGCGCCTCACTAGCACAGCTCTGTAAAGAAGACTGGTGTATTGAGAACATATCTCTGACAGTTCCTTGGCTCACTCCTGGGGTTTCAGGAAACTGGTGTGAGCTGCTGAGCCTCAAACGATTCTGATGCTGTATTAATGCAAGGACTGATGAGAGTGATATCAACAGTGCAGTACTATCACATTGGTAGGAGAGACAGAAAGCAGAACTAAGCACTGAAACCATGAACAAAGTGCTACCAAGTAGGCTAAAATAAACAAACAGTAAAATGAAACAAAATGCTTATTTTATTTCCCTTTGAAGTAATTTACTTCTTGAAATCTGCAATACTGTTTGAAGGTTGCAAAGTTTGGAAAGAAGTTTAGTTTTCCAAAAAAATGAAATTCCTTCAATCTCCATTGCGTCGTAGCTCCAACAGCTTACACAGAAAGGTACAGCTGCATTTCAACAGGCAGGTAATAATTTTTTTTTATATGAACACAATACATTTCACAGGGCTGAAATAATGTTAGAAATGGATATGCTAGAATTACAAAATTATCCAAATCTTGGCCAAACAAATTACATGATCAACAATTGGAGATGCACTCTTTTCCTGCATCCCAATGATGACAGCCAGCTAAGTCACCTAATATTGCTAAATGTTAGATTGAATGCTTTAAACTGATCCCTCTAACAGTTCCTATGGAAGAAATCAATTAAAGAAATTCTTTGCGTGTCTTATGTAGTGAAAAGCTGTACACATACCCGGAGAAACCCCGAAAGGCAGACAGACATCCAGTTTGTCAGCAATTTTTCTACCACAGATTCGGTTCGTCTGAGCAGGAGCTTAGGCTGCACATTGCTTGATTGCTCCATCAAATCCCTTGTCAACACTTCCAAAATATGGGTCAGATAAACTAGCTTAGTTTGTAGTGCAATAGTCAAGAAGGATGCAAACAAGCACCTGTTTAAAAAAAAAAAGGAAAAAACAGAATACTGTAATTTTGGAATTTCTCTTCCCAGTCATCTTTAATAAATGAAACCTACTTTAGTGCAGTTCATATCCTAAGTTTTCCCTCCTCAGGCACAGAAACTGTCCACTGTTCTCTACAAAACTATAAAAAATGCAAGTCCATCTGCTCTTGTGATTATTTTTTAAACACAGAATTTGTTTCTCTAAATTTAATTCTGCAGAACAACACCTGCTTCAGTGACAGAACATTTCTAAACTGTAGAACTGTTGATCTAACTGCAGGAAGTGTTTACAGTTTTGAAATGAGTTTTCCTGCTCCTTTGCCTCTTTATTTACATGTACAAACATTCCAATTTCTCTTTAATAGCTTGTTTTAATGGCAATGTCTTTTCTTCCTCAGTGTGTGCAGATGGAGAAGGGAAAGTGCTCTGGAGTACTGCAAGTTTGTTTTGCAAGAAGTAGAAATTACATTTGTGTGCTACAATCCATGTTGGTTTTTTCCTGCTAATTCTTTGTCTTGAAGATGATAAGCATAATCATACTATACCTGTCTTTCACAGAGAAATTTTTCTGCTTTTCAAGGGTGTGAATGAGAGTAACAAGAAAGTTCTTGTTACAAATTAAAGCATGCAACATGTTGAAGCTTTCATCCTTGCTCGTTTGGTCTCTGCTCTGGAATAATTAAACAAAAATAAGCAAACTGTAGTTTGGCTATGATGGATTCTTAATGGTCATAAAAATGGTAAGAAACGTATGGGATAAGATCCTGGCCTTATTCAAATCAGTGAAAATTTTGCATTTGTTTCATGGGTCTCAGGATTTTACCGAAGACGCGTTTGTGTACAACACAGAGTACACACATGCAGAGCATACATTTTCTGCCACATACACAAAGTAATGCCAATAGTTACATCTCTACTCATTTCCCATGACTAGACTCTGTTTATTTTATTTAAATAAGTCATAATATACATTGGGTAACAGCATCTTACATTTAAAATTCTTTTGACACATAAAACCATGTAACATTCCTCATGGAGGAAAGGGAACATACTGAAAATGCAAGCTGATGTGTTCTAGGACAACATTGAGATAAGGGTTAAAAAAAGTTATTAATTAAGGCACATCACACTACATCAACTTACCTGTGGCATTTCTTCACTGAAGATGGATGCAAAGCCTCCTGACTAAAATATAAGGGGATATTTATCATTCTTAAGTATACCAAAAGTTTCTAACACATGTACGTTAAACACACCAAGTATGTTCCTGATGACACACTACTTGAAATAAAACAATGGAAATGTTGGCTTCTAAAGCAAGTACAGTATAAAATCCCTATACATTAACTTCTGCAAAGGTGCTGCCAAAGTTCACTGAAAAGTGAACTCTCAAAGATAACCTGGTGTTGACTTCAGCATTCCTGTGTGTGATACATGATGCTGCTGTGCACAGCAGTCAACTAATGCTCCACACGAAGAGCTGTTTATTACCCTCATCCACCAACGTGCTGGTGTGCAGAGGGTGCTGCAGGCTGCATCCTTCTTGGATGGCAATGATAGCCTTTGGTATACAGGGTTTCCGTAACAGAGTGACACTTGAGCTCATCTGCCTCCATTCATTTCAAGGCACTTTATGAATGTTCACTAATGAACTCTCCAGGAGATCCATGCTGTCAGTCTCCAGAGAGGCACAGGTGCCACCACACATCCAGTCCTAGCAAAAACTCTCACACAAAGAGGAGCTCCCAGTTCTCAAATACCTTGTCAATGCCTCTTGTCTGACTCTTACAGCCTATAAGGTTCCAACAATGCTGCACATTCCCAAAGCAGCACCCTTGAGCACCAAATTTACACTAGTAACAATTACTGTCACCTGCTTTGTCTGTGATGCTGGCAGCCCTTAGTTTCGTTATAGAATCACAGAATGGTTTGGGTTAGAAGAGACCTTAATGATCTTCTAGTTCCAACATCCCTCCACACCCCAAACATGGGCAGGGACACCTCCCACTGGACCAGGTTGCTTAAATCCCCATCCAACCTGCCCTTGAACACTTCAAGGGATGGGGCATCTACAACTGCTCTGGGCATCCTGTTCCACTGTCTCATCACAACAAAATTTCTTCTTTATGTCTCATTTAAATTTATTCTCTTTCAGTTTAAAACCATTTCCCTTTGTCCTGTCACTACAGGCACTGGTAAAAAGTCTATCTCCATCTTTCTTTTAAGCCACTTTTATATTGAAAGGCTGCAATGAGGTCTCCCCAGAGCCTTCCTTTCTAAAGGCTGAACAACCCCAACTTGCTTAGACTTTCTTCAGAGGAGAGGTATCCCAACCTTCTGACCATTTTCATGACCCTCCTCTGGGCTGTCTCTAATAGGTTCATGCCTTCCTTGTGCTGGGGACCCCAGAGCTGGATGAAGTACTCCAGCTGGGGTCTCACAAGTGCAGAGAGGAAGAATCACCTCCCTCAACCTCCTGGCCCCGCTGCTTTTGATGCAGCCCAGGGTACAATTGACTTTCTGTGCTGTGAGCACACACTGCCATCTCACAACTGATTTTTCATCTACAAAACCGATTTTTTTATCCACATAACTGATTTTTCATCCTTTGTTCTCTTCTCCCCTGCCATATTTTTCTTCCTCATCCTCCAGTGGCTATTCCCATTTTCCCAGAACTTATTCAGCAACCCTAACACCACATACCAATAAAACGCACACACATACGTACACAGAGTGAAAGAACTGGAACCACCTTAAATGTTAAAAATGCTTGTATATAGGGAACAGGCATGGTAGCATTAAACCAAACAATGTGTGAAATCGAGGAAAAACAGAAATAGTAATACAAATTTAACAAGTAAAGCAAAAATCAGGCTGAACATCAAGAACATTTTAGGAATAGATATAATCTCCATTTAACACCTACAAACGTCAAGCCAAAAATCCAAAAGCTATCAAGCCAGATTAAATATAGAAAATTGAAGCAGTGAGAAGCAAGAGTCAAGATGAAGATGGGGTCCATCACTCTTAATTTTGGGTATATGACTCCACCTTTAAGCCACTTGTCCCATCCTGAGAGAGATGACTCAAGACACGTGCCATGAATCACTTTCTTGAGCTGCCCATCTCTGCACTGACTACAGAAGATGCTCAGTGAACAGCTTTGATTTCCATGTTTAAACATCTTAGATTAGATGAGACAAAGCCCACTGAACACACTAGAAGGCAGAAACACCACAATATGGACATCATTCAAACACATGAGGTTAGTGAGGGAAGTGGTGATTTGTCACTTTGACCGTTCTGTCAACCCTTCTGACACTCAGTTGCAACCTTCAGCCCATCAGCTTTCTGTTCATCTGTAATATTTATTCAGTGGAACACTGCTTTCCTACTACATTCATATAGCACAAGGCGTGTTTGGACACTCCTGCAATGTAAACACTAAGTACTTAGCAGAAAAAATTGGTACACAACGCATTAAATAACTCGTCTGACACTGCATGTTTGTAGAGAGCTAATAGTGGCAAGTTTACCTTCACAGTATCAGTATTTCAAACTGAGACAAAATCTAATTGGAGTAATTTCCAGGATGTGCACTGGCATGACACTCACCAAGGCTAAACAGGAGCACTTTTCATTCTGACTTTACAGAATACAGCAGACTGGCAGACTCTGTGCCTTTTTTTCATAACTTTTTATTTTGCATTTCCACTCAGACAGCTTCTACAGGTTATTACTGTTTTGACAGGGAACTATCACAGGAAAAGATAAATTCTTTAAAATTAAAATGCTATTTTAATGCTAATATGCCTGGCAACAAAACAAACAGAAATGAAAAGGACACAGCAAGTAAGGTTGCCTTGGTCCACTTTCTTCAAACCACCTAGTGACCCTATAAATATCAGACTGGGGGCATCGCAGCAGTACCAGAAGGGATATTCCCAGTGTCCTTTGGTGTGAGAACTGGACTCAAAGTGTACAAAGATCAGGCATATGTAATTGCTAAATATTATTCTTCTACCTTAGTATCTGATATTTGGTGTTGTACAAAGAAAAGGTCTTGATTCTGCATTTTCACATATGTTTAACTTCATCACAGTGAGCTTTTACTGGGATCACAAACAGCAATAAAGCAAAGCAGTGTGCAGACAGGACTGAAGCACTGGGCCAGAGCAGTGATGAGTAACACATGAAGACTAGTAGATAATTCACATACATACCAGCTATGCCCTAAACTAACCAAGGGTTTCTACTCACTGGTGTCAGTTATACAGAAAAATACCACCAGCTGAGATCACAGCTTCTGCCAATCGGGTAAATGCTGGTATTATCTGGTATACACACTTGTTAACACTATATAATTTTGAAAGCTGTGACAAAGGCACTTACCAGTATCATAATGTGCCACATATGCAAATGAAAATAGTAAGAGAATTAAAACATTCAAGAGAAGGCCTCTGATGGCAGTGGCACACACTGCTCCAATGAACTACAAAAATATCCACCTCTAAACAAGACAACACTTAAGTACTTATGTAATTTCTAAGCATTTGACCTGTAACCCTTTGAATCAACATCTTACCATTTCTGTCAGCAGCTTGGTGTAGAAAGTCAGCACGATCTTAGAGCCACTTCTTCATCCCACAAGTCTAATTAGGAAGTGTCACGATGTTAGCTAGCATGTTAGCTGGCCTGACTGTTACTCTAATTAGCTATAGAATGGGAAGTGAAAGCATGGGAACAAAAAAAGCAATGGATAAATTATAGCTTAGTTAGGATGGCCTGAAAGGCAAGCAGTGAGGCTGGACACAAAGAAATGGATACACACACAACCCTTGAAAATTCAAGAAGGGTGCTTTATCTACAGCATAAAGGCTTGGTTAAATACAGAGATGTACAGCCTTAAGTGTTCTCCGCTAATTCTTGATTTAAGAAAAGTTTCTTGTGAAAACAATGTGCTATTGCTGTGTAGTGTTGTCTTTTAGTTATTTGATCCTAACCTTCCTACTTTTGTAATATTAGGTTGGGCTGACAACTGAAAGACTTGTAAATATTTACCTCTGGAAAGAAAGTTCTAAGAGCAAAGTGTTTGTAGTCAAGGAAGGGAACGGTTCCAAAACTATCCACCACATCTAATTCATCCATCTGCAGTTCAGCGAATCCTGAAAAAGCAGCCCCCCTCCCCACCCAGAGAGTTAGTTTAGCTGACACAAAATCATCTTCACAATTATAACTTGGTCCTTATAAAATAGTTTTCAGGGAAGAGAGGTAGTTTTTATAGCTGAAGATCTTATGAGCAGGAAAGTAGCAATCCATTTTTTCCCGCACTTTTGTTGAAGGAAATACCACATGCAATCCTATTAGCTCAGTGCTATCTGCTACTGCAGTGCACACAACATTAAAGAGGAACTCTGATACAACACAAAAATATTCTAACAGCTATAAAATGAAAACGTGAGCTTCTTGACAGTTTCAGCTCAGAAATTATGCTGTACTTAAGCTCTGTAAAGCTCTTTAGACCTACCCTCGCGGATTTCCTTGCGGATCTCATATTCCAGCAGTTCAAGTTGCTGACTCTGTTTACGAGTTAACTCTTTGGATTTGTATCTAGTAACTATGAATGCCGCTAAAAAGGAAGAAAACAAGATTCTGAGTGCAAAAACTGCAGAACATAAAACCTCTATACGAGATATATTTTATCATTATTTTAAGAAACAGAGAGATTAATGTACACTCACACTCTCCAGGAGGATCAGTGTTTTACTGTTGCCAATGTGCTAGTACCCAGGAGCCCTAGTTATCTGGATCTATACCACAATGTTTAATAAAAATCACTCCTTTTAACAAGGTCTTAGATTTGCCAATCCAGCTTCATTTGGAAGTACAGCACACCCTGCTATATAAAGCCTGCACAGTGAGACACAGAATCTAACAACCACTTCTACTAATAGCAACCTACTTAAAGTTGCACAGATTAAACAGGAGTTGTTTTCAACAAGAAACCCAGTTCCAAATTCTTAACTTCTCTAAAGTTTATTTTGAGAGAATAAAGGCATGAGATATGGATCCTTCTTAAAATGAGCTTTAAAAAAAATAAACCATATCAAGCAAAAGAATAAACCCCTACACTTATGAAATAAATGGAAATTTATCAAATACGTAACTAGGTAAAAACATTCAGGAAAAAAAAGAGTGCCAAAAAGAAGGGGGATAACTATCTACATCCCTTGATTTAGTAATGACCCACAAACTGATGAATGATTCAAATAAGTCTAAGCAGAAACACCACAAACACAGCCTGAGCAAAAGCAGCTTGTTAAGGAACATGTGCCCCAGGGACGGGAGGATACCCTAGCTCAGACAGCTGGAAGGTACCAAGTTGTGACACAAGGATGTCAGTCCCGTGTCGTGCTTCATGAAATGATAGTGAGTAATCACAGCAGAACAGACAGAATTAGTCTTATAACATGCTTGTAATGTACTGCAGCCTGACAAGATGGACCACCAGAACACAGTTAACTTTGTCCACTCTTATTGTGAATAGGCAAAACCAGCAGACTGTTTGTGACAGTTTCAGACACATGTGAGCATGTATATGTGTTTGTGTCATGATTATACTCTTCAGCAAATCGAAAACTGAAAATACGTAATTGTACTTACCTATAATGACACCCACCACAATAGGGAGCAAAATAAGAACATACAAATATACGTGTGATGATGTTGGTTTGACTTCATGCTCAAAATTTCCTAATTTGACCTGAAGAAAAGTAATGAATGTGTTAATAGAGGACAGGTATTATACCAGAGCTTAAAATGACATTTAATATGTTTTTTTTTTAAATAAAAAAGTATTTAAGGCACATGAAGGACCATGGTAGATTATTAGGAGGACAGCAGCAATTCAGGAAAACATATGTGAACCAACCCAAGCTTAAATTTTAGTGTACTTGATATCTAATCTGGGTAACAGAGCAGTGATGATAAAAATGTGGAGGTCCTTATGCAGCACCAAATTTTTGCCATTGCCCTTGCTGCAAATCAGTGGCAAGATCTGGCCTCCAGCTGGCCGAGAGGCTCACACACTTCAGAATGGCATTTTGAAGCAAGGAAGGCATGTGTTAATAGTTGAAAATATTCCTTTGCACTCACAGTGTTCCTCTGCTGAGCAGAAAAGATAAGACTCATGTTAAGAATGAGGGAAGTAAAATTTTTCATAGACACCTGGCCCACAGACCTCTTCCCTATTTCTTTGCGGAAGTTTCAACGTCTTTATGTAGGAGAAATAAAAAATGCAACATAAAATACATGTACAACATCCCCCAGCAGCCAGTGGGCTTGGCAAAGGCAGGACAGGCATTAATTCTTAGGAACACATGAAAGTACTGAAGTCTGCCAGATGCCAAACTGAGGCATTCACCACTGATAATTATGGCAGAAGAAATTTCACAAAGGAGAATCTCAAAGAGGACTGTGAAAGCACATAAATAAAGGGTAGCTAAGACTATAAACAGATGAGAAGTAAAAATATGCTTTGACACATAAAAAGAATACCACCAAGTGCCAGGGCCAGAAATGAGCTTGAGATAATTGAAAAGGAGGGTTGGGTTGAAATTATTTTGGGTCACAGCAGTGAAGGCAGAGATCTGGTGATTGCAATCTCTGGCTTGTCACAGGAGGTGAGCAGCCAGGGCAGCTGCAGACTGCCAACTGGATAGTCACATTGCAGCTACACAGACACAAGTAAGCAAAAAAAAACCCCACTGGGTTGGAAGGACACAGCCTTCATATTTCTGGGGGTACAAAGAACAGAAGACAAAGCAGATCTATTTCCTTCATCAAATGTTACTTTTCCTTCTTATGTCTCTATGTTTTCACAGTTCCTATACAAAGTTGTTTTGGTCTGAGCCTTCCTAGGATCTCATTTGCCTTTTCCAAGGCTGAAATGCATTGGTGGGTAAATACATTGAGTATCCTGTGACTAATACACCTGCCTTTCTCCACTTGTCATATCCAAACAAAGGATTCCTGAAGCAGAAATTTATGTTCCTTATCCCTGTTTATTGAAAACGGAAACAAAGCATTCATTTAATTTTCTGCTCATATTTAAATTACCTTTAATCTTCAGATAACTTTCCTATCCAGTGGCCCCATTTCTTTCCTTATCTCTTATCTTGCTTATGAATCACAGACTAAATAAGGTACACCTGAATTAATCTAATTCCTATTCCTAAATTCATTCATTTTTCCACATGACATTATAAAACCTACTCTGGACTGGTAATGCCTCTGAGCATTATGTCATCAGCAAATGTTGTTAGTGCATGCCTTATTTTTGTGTTCAAGTCACTAGTGATATTAAAGAATATCTGTATAAACATCAACATTGCCCAGAGTCAGCTCTCCACACACAGCATCCGTTTTTTCTAACCCCTAGTGTCTTCATAATCACCACATTAAGTAGTTTACTCAATGACTTCCAGGTATGTGTGATCTATTGCTTTTTTGTTATTGAGGAAATCACTCATCTTACGAAATAAAGATATCTAGCATAATCTGCTTTTATTAAAAAGAAGTTGACAATTATCCTATTTTCCATTTACCTCCAGGTTTTTCATGAGTCCCTCATTCAAAAGACATTACAAAGTTTTACATAGAGCTAGGATTAAATCAACCTCCATCTGCCTAGTTTGCCTAGATTTGAGGGTTTTTTGTTATTTAAAATACTGGGTTTATATTTGCTGCTCTCCAGACATACAATATGTCCTGACTGCAGTTTTATTTAAAATCTTTCCTACTAAGCCTACAATATCATGTGTCAGTTTTCCCTCAGTGCTATGATGGGGAATGATCCTGTTCCTGCTGTCTTGAGCTCCTTGATCTATGTGAATCTTGTTTCTGTCAGAAGAATGGCATTTTCTTCTCTGACACCTCCATCCAGACTGATCATTCTGTCTTTGAGCCCACACTCAATATCCTCTTTCTTCCAGAAAACTAAGGCAAGGGATACATTTATCCCTTGAACCAGACTTAGATTTTACACCCATCTTATCCTTTCGAAGTGGCCCTACTTCTTCTATGATGATCTATTTATAAGATTTTAAAAACCATGTGGTGATGTACTACTTTTAAATTTTCCTTGATGCTGGAAAAAAGAATTTTTAAGGTACCAGAAACGAAATGTTACATGATAACTATTGCATTTGATTTGCCTTAGCGAGATGGTGACCTTTCTCTGACAGTTACTCCTATGAAGCTTGCAGGATGAGCATGTGATATTGCAAGGCAACATTAATATTTAAATGCAACACCAAATTCAGAAAGGTTTTTCCATGCCATAACTGGCTCAGACGGCAGGATCCACAGATGGGGGATCAGTTAACAGTGATGCAAAATCAAGAATAGCTTTGTTAATCTTTACTATGAGCCATATGCCTTGAAGTCAATAGAGTTATTTCAGTTTTATACCACCATACACTGTAATAAGAGTCTGGCATAATTTTTCTCCCTCGTAAGTGGTGATGATTGCATTCTAAAAAATTCATATCTTCATCTTATTCATGGAGCAAATATCTTAAGCCGCCATTTAGCTTTGACATCCATGCTAATGTTCTTATATTTTGGCCTGGCTTTGTGCCATATGCTCAAAGCATTTTAGCTTTCCCAGGGCACATTGGATTTCACCCCCTTTTTCATCCAGAAATGCCTTCTCTTCTGTCTCAGAGGTGATCCCTGAGACAGATCCTTGCCTGTTCAAGTAGGAAAAAGTGACTGGGAGGACACAATCCTTTTCCTCATGCAGAAGGAGACTGCATACAGATCATAGATGAGGGGTTCCCCCGGAGACAGTGGTGCTGTTTCAATGATGTCTGTGAGGCAGATAGAGGTGTGACAAGCTACCAGTCTCCTGGAGCTCAGCTGCAGTGAGCTCAGTTTGGACTGCAAAACCAAAGTGACACTAGCCCAGTAACCAGATAGAAAATGAACTCAGTACTGTCAGTTGTGTCTAAGCTAGGCAGGCATGCTTAGATATGAGGAAGAAAACTAGTACCAAGTACCAAGAGAGCAGAAAATGCACCCAGTTCCTCCCTCTGTGAAGAACATTCACGCTGAGAGCATTAATGATACATTTTACTACACTTGTATGAACATTCAAACAACTGCTGAATTGCAACAAAAGGGAATTCTACTTACAAAAACTTTCACTGTGGAAAAGTCAATCTTGTCTGTTCCTTCCCTTTTGAATTTGCACAGTATGGTGCTACGGTCTGGCTTTTTGGTAATATTTTGGACACTGAACCATATCTTTTTGGTCTGTGCACCCATCATATATGAGAGATAAACTTCTACCTCAGTTTTAGAAATATTCAAGTTATCATTTTCTTTCTAGAGGGAAAAAATGGAAGACAATAAACAGTCACTAAATACAGTAAAAAAAAATTTATTCCCAAACACTATTTTAAATAAGGAATTGTAGTCTATTAATTTCAAACTTACATATATTTTTAATTCCAGATCAGGATCCAGTTCAGTGTGCAGCTGGTAGTTAATGAACACTGGGTCAGGGTGATAGTGTAATTTCACACATGGTATAAAGGTAGTTTCCACTTTTAACATCATATCGACAACTTTACCCTCTGTTGCATGGCTCAAGCTTGGCGTTAAGTAATGATATTCAGATGCATTTCCAGGGCACCTAGAGACCTAGAAATGCAATAGCAAGGCTGTAACAGTCATTAAGTGCTCAACAGTGGGTACAATTACAAACAGAGACACTCAAACTCATTTTAATGTCTTCCTGACTTCACACAGATACCTGCTAAACCCCTTCTCTGCGATCAGGGATGCACACAGAGCACCTGGGAAAATCGCTATGTTGAGCCTGCCTCTACCTTTAAGCACATTTATCACACACTCTGCACGCTGCTGTAAGGCTGATTGCACACTGCTAAGGTAACTATTTCCTGCAGTGAGACAGGAATAGTGACAGTGATTTCTCCTTCCTTCCCCTCAATGCAGGTGACAAGAGGAAAGTAAGACAAGCTTTCCAGCACTCCTGGGCATCGGCTCTTTCCAACTCAACTCCTGAGAGAGTAGGGTTGCTACAGCCATTGTACCATTGGGTCATTGTTTACTCCACTGTGTGATGCTGCTATGTTCTGGTCTCTGTGCTGCAAGGGTCAACAAAGTGCCTACCTCCTCACAGCTTTGGACAAAGGGTTTCATCCCAACATCAGCTCCAGCCTGCTGCCCCTTGATGAGGCAGTGACACCATTAGGGTTCTCAGCACAGAGACAGCAGGAAGCATACCAGCCCCTCCTCCAACAGACCCATGCATGGAGACTGGGGAGACTCTAAAAGGACAGATTTGGAACAAGTCTCTAGGCCACAGAAAAAAGGCTCAGGGAATTATACAGGCAAGTAGCTTATGTGTATCCATGATTCCATACTAAGAATCTGTGCAACTGTAATCCTATAAGTGGTCATATTTATTTCAGTAGGGTGACTGACATGTGTCTGGCAAGTGTTTGGAAATTACTGAGATCTCCTCAAACCTAATTCATCAAGAGACTTCTATTTGGTATTATAAAGGAGATTCAGACTTACTGTGAGGTTTGATCTCTGGTCATCTGAAATAATCACACTGTCCACCACATTAAAATTTCTACCAGTTGTAGTAATTCTGCGACCACCACTGTAAAATAAAAAAAAAAGGATGGAGGAAGGGAGATTAATATTATCAGTTTTCCCACAGACAAGTCCTGCATAAAGGCTTCAGCTGTGAATTAACTACTGATGTGCATTTTGCTTTGGTAGCAGACAATATACTAAAGTTAAACAGCAGGATAAGATAATTGAACTATACAGTGTACTGTGCAACTGTAGTTGACCATAAATACTTCTGCTGCCGCGAAGCCAAATGACTTGATTGCATACACATGTATACTCCTTTTCAGGGACTCTCCACCTTGTTTTCTATTCATGCAGCCGAGTAACTAGATGTAGAAAGAGCTTTGTGGTATTTCATGGCCCCAGCACAGCCCTGCCTGTGCTTAACTCCTGCCTTCTCCAGGACAAACCGATCATGCCAGGCACCTCACAGGAAACATTCTCGGCAGCGTTCGGACCATCTGTCTCCGCACACACAATGGTGCTTGTGTCTGAGGGCTCTGGCTCACAATCTCTGCTGAACACAGTTGGAGTGGTTTAAGGTATTATTAATTTCCAGCTGCCTGAGCTGCCTCTCACCTGGAGATGGGGGCATGCATCCTAGCTGCTCAGCTGCTGCAGCTGCCAGCCCAACTCATTACCTCAAATCCACACTTGCCAGTGCTTGATGACAAGATATCAGATTAAGAACGTGAAAGTGGTTAAAAACTGTGCAGGCAGAGGGACAGGGGGAAAGCTGTGCCTAAGAATATCTTAAAAAACACCCTGTAACAGTCTTTCACCAGAACTGTGAGTCTCCCACAGAACACGGCAGAGGCTTGAAAAGGGCTCTTTTGGCTCCAGGGAACCCCATCATAAATCACGTCCGCATGTATCACTGCAGTGGTGATTATTTTCACTTCATTTCCAATCCACTGATATTTTTCACTGTTTCACAGGAGAAGGGCATATTAGTATCAGGAAATCAAAGTTAATCAGTTAGAATTTACGCATGCTGCCTAGATTTTGGATTTGGCTTTGGTATGAATAGACTCTTTTTGAATTCTATCAAGGAGACATGGGGTGGGCAGGAAGAAGTTTACCGAATACTGCAAACACAGAATCCATCTTGCAGCTATCATGACCCTATCTGTTAAACAGGCATGAATTCATCCTCCACAACAGGTTACAGCAGTCATCCAAATTTGCACCAGCTGCAGTCTGGCTGAGGAAGAAGGCTCATATTGGCTCAGTGAGACTACATTTTAATAAATTAAAAGTATAGAAAGACAAATTTACCTGATCCAGGAGGTATTTGGTGTGATTCTAGAACATGATGGCAGTGAAACATAATGCAGGGTCATTGGTGGTGAACATTTTTTCCCATTAGCCTGTATACATATACTTTTGGCCTCTTTTCGTGTTGGTGGGAGAGCAAATGTCATTTGTATATCATTTAGCACATTTCTAACTTTAATGCTGAAGGAGAAAAAAACAGAGAAACATTGAAATATGGATGCCACTCATTGGCGAAGCCTATAACCTACAGCAAATGATAAGGAGAAAAGAGAACTGAATCTCTCTGAGCTGCTAGATGGAGGTGGAAAGACAGAACAGGGAGTTGAAATGACAAAGTAAGGCATCTTTTGAATGAAGTTGCTATGTGACACAATAATCATGGAAAACAGCACAGATGTTGGATATACTTCTCTGTGCTACCAGCATGGTCCATGAGCTAGTCAATAATCTGCATCTTCCTTTTCTTTCTTTTTCTTTCTCTCTTCCCTCCCTCCTTT